TTTATTGATCCAGTCTAACCTACACAGTTATTAGGTGTGAAATCTTAGTTTGAAATATTCATGAGTTAAAACTAAAAGGAAGAGAACACAGTATAACAAAAATGTACTGCTAGACTCTTAAATAAAATAGATTTGTTCACACACTGGGATTACATGTATGTATATGGAGACACAATGCACACATTAGCAAACACTGCCAAAAAGATTAAAAAAACAAACAAAAAACAAATACACTGGAATCACACATTTTCAGGAGCCTGTATTCAATTCCTGTTTAGGGGTTTGATTTTCAACAAAAAAGGTGAAAAAATACTGAAAAACTAATGCAAGTTGGCTTTTGACTGTAATTTTATTTGAGAGAGACAGTAAAAATGTCACTTGTGTGTAGTTGCAACTAAGTCAGTTCTTTCTGGTCACATTGTGTTAAAATAAAGCTCAGATTAAAGTCTAACAAAGCCTCTGACAGAGCAGAGCCAACAGTTAGCATCAAACCCCCAGGGAATGTTGATGCCATCAGCTGCAAAGTATTAATAGAATAGATAAATAGAATAGATAAAGCTGTGTTGTTTTAAAACAATTATGTGCTTCCTTTCCTATGTTGATCCTGGGACAGTGACTGTCAGAGCCACGTGGAGCCAAGACACAACCAGTGGTTGTGACTTTTGGGTGTAAAATTCAATTATAAAGCAAGAGAACGTGTCTGTTGTAAGCAGCGGGCGTGCAACGGGCTGCTCTCAGCATGCAGTGAAGAGGTTAAGAACAACAGAAAGCCTCCATTATCCCCAGTGAGAACAGCCCATGTGGCTGCGGCAAGGCCCCCACTCTCATTCACTTCTCTTACAACAGGACTGCTAAGTCCCAAAGTTTTTCTCTGTCCCTCTTTGCTCTACATGGTCAGAAAAGGCAGCACAATGCTGCTGGAGGCTGGAGTGGATTCTTCAGTACCCCTATGGATAGCACCATGTGGTCAGACTACACAGAAGTCTACCATCAATCATCATGAAAGCACAATTACAAACCATAGAACTTTAAAATATGAACTACCATTACTGCTTTGGGCAGTAATTAAGTCAGTAAAATGTATTCAAACATTTTTATGACAATGATTGAATTAACATGCACTTAATACATATAATAAGTATTTGGAGGAGATATGATTTCATAAAGCTATGTAATTAATTAAGACTCAGGGGTTTCAAATCATCGCTGATCAGCATAGGAGTGTTTATTCAAACAGATCTACAGTCCATCCACTCTCATTAAAAATATGTTGTCAGAACATCTGTTGGAACAGAGTTCAGAGTATGGAGAAATAAATTAGAGTTATCAGATTTTAAAATGTGTCTTGTTTATGAAATTAAAGGATTCATTTGAGATAAACTGCAACTCCACCAATGCCTCCACCCCATTTCATGTCATTTACGCTGTAGGAATCACAGCATGTAAAATCGTGTTGAGACAATATCCCATCAAAGTCAAAGCTGTCTGGTAACACTTGCTCTAAACACATCACCTTAACAAAAGTATTCTTTTGTTTCTTACATAAAAAAAAACAAGCCTTTACTGCCACCTTGTGGCAGTCTTTCTATGGCATGCACTATGTACATGCATTATGTTGCATAAAGTTAATTAAAGTTAAAGTTAATCATGAGAATATATTTTAGTAAGTGCTCAAAATGTGAGGTGTACAAAACTACCCACAAAAATGTCTCTGCATACCTTTGCTTGAAAGATTACATTGTTAGTTTGTTTTGTTATTTTAATCAGGTAATAAGGAATAAGAATTTAAACATTATAATAATCAATAAATCAAATATAATAACTATAATAATTATTATTATGTAAGCAGTCATTTAGTCATTCCAATTAGATATGCTTCTAGTGCAATTTATCAAATTTGAGTCTAAGTAGGTTTTATTAATGAAAAATATCAAATAAAAAAATAATGATTCATTAATACAAAGGGGAAAAGGTGCTTCTATGTGCCATATTGCCAAGCCCTACCTAAAGCCCCACATGTACATTTGAATCTTAAATCTTACACATATCAATCTTTACCCTCTGTCAAATATCATGTGTGGTCAGTTAGAAAGAATTACTAAAAATGATTAACACATATCTCAAAATCAAAAGAGGGATTTATGTTTCTTTTAAAAATGTCTTTACTTTTTTGGTTTTATGTCCAGTCAGTGACCTAAGAGGGGTTTAAGAGAGCCTTTTAGCGGGTTGAGAGTTAATGAGCAGTATAGTAATACACAATACATATATATGTCTGTGCCTGCAATGTGTACAGGCCTACAAGGGGATTGCCATGTTGTCTATGATAAGCTCTACTTGCTTTAAGATAATTATAGACTAAATGTTTCAAAGCCTACAAACTGACTGTTCCAACTGCCACAGAAACAATGATATGTTGTTGGTGGCATCACATGTGGCCTATTAGGTATGCAACGATATTCAATATATCACATTCTTTGATATAGTTGTCACGATTCAATACACATATTCCCTCGATATGAAAGTGTCCGTCCATGCACGTGTCAGTCCGTGCACACTGTGTTGTCATTTATTTTGGTCCGAAAGGGAAACAGTTAACAGTGGCGCCTGCAGGGGTACACCTTTATGCACTGTGCATACCTTGAATGTCCTTAAGAGGTTACGTGTGGAGGAGCACGATAGTGATTATTGACCAAATTGTTCCTTTTTTTTTTTTTTTTTTTTTAAACTGAGGACAGGACCGTAAACGATTAAAACCTGTTGTTTCCGAGTAAACTACGACGAAGTATAAAGGTAATATAATTTTTTTTTACAAGAATAAAGTCGCGGCCAAAGTAAAGACATAATTATAACCAGATTTAGGGTAATTATATGAAGATTTTGTTTCAAAACGCAAAAGAACAATTTGCCACCATGACCAGAGAGTAGCGCTTATTGGAAAAGCTTAAGTAAAAATCTACATATAAGGGATGCAGAACTATATTGCTGGCCATTTACACATTAAAACTGCTGAATTATTTCCCCAGGATTGACCTCCATATGCCTTTGTTCGTAGCTGAGGACACTGACCATGTCCACAGCCAATTGCAGGTCTATTGGCACAATTTCCACCAAATCCGCACTATGCGTACCTTGAATGTCCTAAGACCTTATTATTGACCAAATTGTTGACTTTTTGTTTACTGAGAGAAGGGCTGTAAAACTATTAAAACCAGTTTTTTTCTGAGTAAACAGCTCCAAAGAGGCTTTCAGCTGAAATATTCTAACAGAGTTTTATCTTTCACTAGTCACTTTAGTCACTTTTTAAATTTTTTATTTTACATTGATAGACCCAGGAATAACATTGACATGACATTATTGCAATGCACACGTGGTGTGACTCGCAATATACACGATCTTTTTCTCAAATTCATGCTGAGGTTCTGTGTACAGTCTGTGTATGTCGCGGCCATTTGATTTTCATTTAAAATGGAAAATATCAGAAAATCAGATCTAAAAAATCTGAAAATCTAAATCAGAAAATTACTGTTTCTCAATCTCAAAACTAAATAGAAAATCAGGAAACAATCCATTATTTGTTTTGAATTTAAAACCAAAATCCGAAAATGAAAATCGAGTCCCTGAAACTGAACAAAGGCAGAGTGATACTGACAGTCCAAGTCTGGTCACAGAAAGTTGATGGCTCAGCAAGGCCGAGGTACGCTCCAGTTTTGAGATTGGGAAACGGGACACACCTGTTTAGCGATTTTGGACTGTATTTATGAACAGAAATTCTAGGCGCAGTCTGGGTTTGCAGGGGGTACAATTTCGGGACCATAGGATCGCATCTCTGCTGTTGGCAGATGATGTTGTCCTGATAGCTTTACTGCACTGGGGCATGTCCTGGCTAGGTTTGTAGCCAAGTGTGAAGTGGTTGGGACGAAGATCAGCTCCTCCAAATCCAATTCATGGTTCTCAGCTGAAAAAATGTGTCTTGCCCTCTCTGGTTGGGAGGGGAGTCTCTGCCTCAAGTGAAGGAGATCAGGAGGACTCGGGGTCTTGTTCATGTGTAAGGGAAGGATGCAGTGATGCAGTTGCTCTATTGAACTGTGGCGGTGAATAAGAAGCTGTGTCGAAAGGCAAAACTCTCGATTTACCGGTCAATCTACGTTCCTACCCTCACCTATGGTCATGAGCTTTAGGTAATAACAAGATTGACAGGATCGCAGATACAAGTGGTTGAAATGAGGTTTCCTCTGTAGAGTGGCTGGGTGCCCCCTTAGTGATAGGGAGAGGAGCTCAGTGACACGGGAGGAGCTCCACCTCTTCCACATCAAGAGGAGTCAGCTGAGGTAGCTTGGGCATCTGTTCCGGATGCCTCCTGGACGTCTCCCTGGGGAGGTGTTATATATTACTATTAAATTTAGTTTCAATTTGTAGGGGGTGCTAATACGCTAAATGTATTTATTTATTTATTCACATCAAGTAGGTTTAGAGCAGGGAGTTAAATAGTTGGTTCAATGTTCACTGAAATGGGCGTTCCTATGTGCAAATAAGAGCCATTCGTATAAATCCAAAATCTAGGCTACGTTGCACTATAAAATGTATCAGAGAGTTAAGAATGTCTGTGAACGCTGTAGCTTTGACCCTGCTCTGAGAAGTACCCCCCTCATGTCGCCCAGATGCAAAACTCACCTCGGGTCTCCAAATTACTTTGCTTAAATCACCCCATACGCGTGCACTGTGCAAGCGTGATTAACATTTTGCTATGCACACCACGTTGCAGGGCAGACAGCGGTGAGCCCCTAGACGCGTGGAGTGACAGACAGCTAATTCCACAGTTAAACCGTTTCTTTGGGTCACTCAAACCATATGATGGACCAGAACCAGATGTACCAAGTAATTCAGTTTCACAACAAGCGTCGTGTGACATACCGATGCATAAGGGGTGTGGTGTCACGTGGTTACGTTACACTGAGAGGTGTTGGGCTATTTAAACAAGAGGTCCATAAGCTACCCAAACTTTACTGAACTCAACCAATCATTAGACTCACTGTTAACCTGAAGCGCACAGGATGGACGCTGCGTACAAAAAGATCAATGGGGACCATGAGCCATTGGAGGAATCAGGGACTAGGGTAAACTTTTTATTTTGATGACTGCAGAATATTATTGCTAAGGTTTGGCTGCTCTTGTTTGCTTTTTTGTTCATGTGTAACTATAGGACCTTTGGAATTGTGAAATAGGACTAAAATATTCCAGACAGAGACAAAAGTAATACTGGTTATTGATCAGGTGAAACATGCTAGTATTAGTGAATATGTCTTCTAATTTATTTTAAACGGACTTTCACCACTTACTTCTGGACATCTTTAAGATTTATATGGCTATTGGATAATTTAAAGGCGTTAAAAGGTTAAAGGTTTGGGACTGGAATTTTGTTAGATCCGATGATGGCTTTGAACCTGATTTCATGCATAGTTTCGGGTGCTTCACTCTAGAGTAAAATTGGAACCGACGACAGTTTCCCTTTTCCTCAAAGGTTCTATATTACGCAAAACTGACTGGTGGGCACTTTTAGCCGTGTTATAGTGCTGCTACCTCCTCAAAAAGTTGTGTTAGTTTCATGTACATATGCTTCAGTAATCCTGCATTATTAGGCTGTCTACACCTGCAAAAGTCGGAATTCTCAGTTTCACCTTGTTATGTCATTAAGTTATAGCTTTAAGGTTAACAGCTCTTTTTAGTCTCAATTGGATGCCTTTACTCTTAAATAAATATAAAAAACTCTCAAGTTATTGCTTTTATTTAAATATATGCTTTGTTATACCTTGTGCACAGTTCAGAATGTCTACAGAAAGTGCCCAATATCTGCTGGTGAACCGAGCAGTAAAGCCTTTTCAATAAGGCTAAAACAATAGCTGTAACTTCAAAGTTAGACCAGGGCTGAAATGATCAAAATTATTCTACTGAAGGTGTATGCAGTTTAAAAACACACACAGTTGAGCCCTTTCTGCATTACCACTTAATGACATCACAAGATGAAACAAGGCATTTTCAGTTTAAGAGAAGAACACCACCTAAATATGCAGTTTGTGTTAAACATGTGTACATGAAACAATATACAACTCCAATATCCATATAGCCATCAATAGGTTGTCATGTAAATCATGTAACCTGGTTTAAGTGTGGTTCTTATGTTTCATGTTTCTAATTTGGACTGACTTGAGCTGTGTTTTGTTGTACAGAAAAGAAGAGGGTCCATGTATTTGGAGGAAGAGACCAGTAAGACATCTGAAGTCATCTCCTGCATCTTCTCCCTGAAAGAGGAGGTCGGAGCTTTAGCCAGGGCTCTCAGACTGTTCGAGGTAGCTATTATTTTGTAGTTGATGTTGTTTTTAAGTACAGCACTGTTATTTACGATGTGTCATAATCAGTCATAAAATATACAAGAAATGATTACCTAGCGCATAAATAGACATATGAGGGAAGTAACAAAACTTTCCACTTTTTTAGATAGGAGTGGATAATAACTTTGTTTTTGTCCAAAGGGGTTCATAGCCTTTGCTAACCCTCAACAAACTTTGCTTATCTTGAATGCAAACATAAAATAAAGTTTGATCTGCTCTGCTCACCTGAAACAGAGGTCACATAACAGTATCATCAAAGCCTCTGTTTAGTTTTTCTAAACACATTTGTTATATAAAAAAAAAAATCGAGAATATATATTTTCAAATAATGTTATTCCCATTACACATTGTGGATCAAATCAAAATGAGACATAGCTGCAGGATGTTTTTGGTAAATAATGCATTTTTGGGGTGGTTATGTGGGTGGACTGTCTACAATCAATATCAAGTATGTGCCAAAATTTCCTCTCCAAGCACTGCATAGTAAATATAAACTTTAAACCTATGAACGTCCTCTTCGCTGATCCTCCCCTTCTCCACCCCCTACCCATGTCCTTGTCTGTCCATAAAACAAGGTAAATGACCTCCTCCTCCTCCTCCAAAAAAAAAAAAACTAAAAAAAAAACTAAACAAAAACAACCAAAAAAAAACCCACACACACATACTTTTTCTTTATCAAAACACACACACAGCATAAAAAGAATTGTATTGTAACAGTGTCTGCTTTAATGATATTTCCATCATTTAAATTTGTCATGCTGAATATTATAGACCTGAACAATTTAGTTGTTTCTGGGCCCATGTGACTTTTTGCATGGCATCATGTGAAAACTCAAAGCTCATTGTCTGATTTGGATATGTAGTCTGGGTGACGCCTCCAGTGACGGCTCACGGAGGTACAGAAGTCTTTAGGATTTACCATTAACACCCACTAAAGCACGTGGTATGCACAGATTTTTTGGTCCCTTTAGTAAATAATGGCATGACAGATATTTTTTCTCTTGAATGAAGAAATGCATACCCTAATGCCATTAATCTATTATCTAAATAAATGATTACCTGTCAATAGTGATAAATAATTTATCAACAAAGATGACTTGCAATTACAATGCTATAAGCATTTGTTTATTTTCTATTCTGTGCATACCTGGATGGGTTTCAGGTTGTTTTGTGAGCACACCCCAGGGATGCTGAAGCACATGGTCTTGTAAAAGCTGTGATAAACACAATCTGATCCAGATGGCAGAAAGGAGGAGGTCCCACTCACGCCCTCTTGTTCATTTAGCCTATAGTGAAGAGAGAAGAACATACTCCCTCTTACGCCCTCACCATTACAAAGCATATTTTGGTGTAATTATTGTATAAAACAATGTGTTTGCTAGCACAAGTCACGTGTACGTCATTCTCCCAACAAAAACAGAGACCCCACCTACCATATGTAATATAACAAAGGGGTGGATGCTGGAAATAACCATCACAATATGTATACCCCCTGCATACACACAGCTTTTGTTTGGCTGAGCTGGCACTAGAATGTTCAAGCAGTTCTAGGTCATAATGTGAACAACTGTGTAATGCCCTCCAGTGGTGTACCAAAGGCATTACAAATCACTCTGTTTTGTTGAGTCGACCATTATTTTTGTACGGACACATTTGTATCTAAAAAGTGTTTTGTTGCAGGAGAAGGGAATCAACCTGATGCACATTGAGTCCCGCCCCTCCAGGATGAACAAAGAGCAGTACGAGTTCTTCATCAGTGTGGACCCCTCGTCCTCTCAGGCTCTGGACGAGGCCATAGACAGCCTGCGCACACAAATCAGTGGTCAAGTACATGAGCTATCACGAAACAAGAAGAAAGATACAGGTAAGACTGTACACCTTAGAAAAGATGTGAACTGAAAATACAATAATAAGATCAGGTGGACTGTAAGAATTCCTACACATTTCATGAAATAAAAGAATTACACATATTAACCTACTTGCTGGATGAGAGTTGGTGTGCTGATATGTGATCAATGAAAGGGGTCTGGAGGGCATATTAGGTGGCAGACAATTTTCTATGGCCATAAAAATGAAAATGCCATAAGAAGAAATGCAAATCATTAGAAGATCCCTTTAAACAGTTACAGGATACATATCACACAACTAGACGAAGTGGTGGAGCCCACAGTTACCTCTGATCCTTCATGGGTAAGCCAGTGCCATCAACAAGATGACAATATGCAAAAAACAAAAGAAAAAATCCCAATATGCAATTTAATAAGGATTTAAGGAGTTAGTATTTTTATATACGTTATTAAGAAGTAACTAAAATCATATACTGCTTTTGACAGATTGCACTTCACTGTTATTAGTTAAATTCACCTGTCACTCAGTAGAAAAGTGTCTGAACTGAATCACGGTATGACGGTTTCATCATACTAATTCCACAAATAGCATCATCACAGGGATCACATCATAATTAGATGTTTATCCCCATATTTCCGCAGCACGTAACTGACATCTAGACCTTGTTATTAGTTGTTTCCAGAATTGCACAGAGTTTGCTTCAGAGGCCATCAGGGCTAGAATGAACAAAGCAGCTTTGTGTTTCGGCCACAGACTGACGCTGGGCCAGACAGTAAGCCAAGGTCACAGTGAACAGAGAATGATAGGGCCACCACTTCAGTGTGATCGGGGGGTCAGGGTCAAGTGGATGAGGGGATATTTATGTCCTATTTTGTGGGTCTGTCTGTTTACAGAGGAGCCTGGCACACATTTGTTTGGGCCTGAGGCTGGACCACACGCCATAAATGTAGATTAATGATGTGGCCTCTCAGTTTTGAGCATAATAAGCTTGTATGAAGAAACAGATGACCAAGAAGCACTGTTCTGTTAAATGTCAAAATGCTATTTAACTCACCATGCTATATGCTATAAATGCTATATTTCTCTATAGGAAGGAAAGGATTGCTCTAGTTAAGATCAATATAACGTATGCAAAAATAAGAGGAGAATTCTGTTGTGACATTACTAAAATTTGTAACTCGATTTTGATAATAAAGATTTGCTAGATGATATCACAATGATAGTAATGTAATAAATAATAAATAATGTAATTTTAGACACAAAATGATAGCAGTTTCTTAAACATTATAATGTGGTAGTATTATATTGATCATTCTAAAAGGTTCAGTTTTGTTCTATTTATGTGATTTTGTTCTATCGATACTTCAGATGAGTTTAGTATGTATTGATTTTTCTGAAGATTATTTTTCTTCCATAGTGCCATGGTTCCCCAACGACATCCAGGACCTGGACCGCTTTGCAAACCAGATCCTGAGCTATGGCTCGGAGCTTGATGCGGATCACCCAGTAAGAACTGACTCATTGATGATAATACTCTTTTACTGACGCATCCTGCATGTGTTTGTGTACAGACCCACTCACACATATTATGAAAGGCCATGCTGCAAAGAGGACGCACTCTGCCATCTATTCTAATGGAAACTACCTGGAATCACAAATTGTCATTGCTTTAATTGAGACCCTATAATTATAGATAATTGCTCTCTTTTACCACCATCATTAAAGCAAAATGTATTCAGTACAAACTGAAAAACACCCTACAAAGGCTTAATTTGAATATGCATTTTGCAGACTTCTATTGGAGATGGAGACCATAATGCTGTCAAAGGCCACAGTGCCCAGCACTAGCAAAGGATTTCCACTCAAAAATATGCTTTCCTAACATGGCTTTTCTTTGTGTTTGTGTTTTCCTAGGGCTTCACAGATCCAGTGTACAGAGCTCGCAGAAAAGAGTTTGCAGATATTGCTTACAACTACAGACAGTAATTATGTTTACTCTATATATTATCCATCTATTATTATAATTTATAAGCTTGAACTAATTCACATAAACCCCATAATCTGTTAAAAACTCTTTGAGCTAAAACTTTACTTCATCTCCTAGTGGACAACCTATACCCAGAGTGGACTACACAGAGGAGGAGAAGGCCACATGGGGCACTGTGTTTAAGGAGCTCAAGTCTCTGTACCCGACCCATGCCTGTCGGGAGCACAACCGGGTCTTTCCACTTTTGGAAAAGTATTGTGGCTACAGGCATGACAACATCCCTCAACTGGAGGATGTGTCCCGCTTCCTGCAATGTAAGTTAGCCTTTCAAAAAACAAAACAAAAAAAGTTTTTGCGAAACATATTCCTAATAATGTATCTGTCTTCTGCAGCATGCACGGGGTTCCGGCTTCGTCCTGTAGCAGGATTGTTGTCATCCCGGGACTTTCTGGCAGGTCTTGCCTTCCGAGTTTTCCATTCGACACAATACATTCGTCATGGCTCCAAACCCACATACACCCCAGAACCGTGAGTATTGGGTTAATTAGACTATTCAAAAAAGCAATTTTCATATTTGTTAAAAATTCACTTCTATCACATTGTGTTACAGAGATATCTGTCATGAGCTTCTTGGACATGTTCCTCTGTTTGCTGACCCAGGGTTTGCTCAGTTCTCACAGGTACTCAGTCTCTTTCAAGCCAGTTACAAAAACACAATCCACCCAAACTTATTTTCTTCAATTACTCTTCTATTACAGGAGATTGGACTGGCATCCCTTGGAGCCCCTGATGAGTTCATTGAGAAACTTGCAACTGTAAGTGCTATTATAGATTTGTATGGATTTATTGTTATGTTATGTATTACATTTTTATTAGATACTTTATTTTTTAAAAATGGCAATACTAAACTTTTACTAAATATATAAGAGGTTTCAACTTGCTGTGTGCCTGTTTTCAGGTGTACTGGTTCACTGTGGAGTTTGGGCTGTGCAAGCAAGGATCTGAGATCAAAGCCTTTGGTGCTGGTTTGCTTTCATCATTTGGAGAGCTGCAGGTAAAGAAAATTAATTAATGAATAAATAAAATAAATAATAATACAATTTAAAAAATATATAAGAGAGGTCATCCTATTATACAATGTAGAGTGGGACAGTGGGTTAGTGGTCCACTCAAGTTTATTGTGTCACTGGGGGAAGTCTGACCGACCACAGCAGGGAACTTAACAGGGTGTACAAGATAACTGAGAGGAGAGCCTATGTCAAGAGGATGTGCACTCTATCTATCCACAAAAACACCACCAAGCCTCTGAATCATCCCATACTTCCTGTTATATCAGTGACACAAAAACAACCTTTGTGTAATGTGTTTTGATCTAGTACTGCCTGACGGACAAGCCACAACGGATGCCATTTGAACCGGAAAAGACATGTCTCCAGAAATACCCAATAACAGAGTATCAACCAGTGTACTTCATTGCTGAAAGCTTTGACGATGCCAAGGAGAAAGTCAGGTAATATTACTGTTTTTAAACAGGACAGTTCATGTTTTGTTTTATCAAGTTAAAACTGAATTGATCTTTCTATAGGAGATTTGCAAGCACAATTCCCAGGCCATTCACTGTTCGCTACAATCCATACACCCAGAGTGTGGAAGTACTGGATAACACGCTGCAGCTCAGAAACCTGGCAGAGAGCATCAATGGTAAGGGCTATATCAGAACTCTGTTCAAGGCACAATTAAACCATTAACTCTCAGAGCTGCACTATGTAGCTTTTCTGATAAGGAATTTGCCACCTATTTGTCTACATTGAGATACTACTACATTTCCTGAAATATCACATTGTATCTATTTTGCATTTATTCAGTCACAGGTGTTGCATGTGTGCAGATTCTAAAAAACTGTGTCTGCACAAATGTGTGTGTGTTAACTGCTTGTTTTAAGATAGAAATGTTTTTATTGTCATTCTGTGGAACATGTGGTACACAAGTGTACCTTTGTGTACCATTAAATATTGACATTGTTTACTCTTGTATTTCAGGTGAGCTGAGCAAACTGTGTGAAGCCATGAGAAAATTAGAGTAATTAGTGGATAAATATTACTGAACATTTACTTTGCTGCTGCCTCTTGCTGTTACTGATACAATCAAATACCTTTCTTGTTTTATATATAACCATAACTATATTATTTGCTTCTACCAGTACTACTACTACTACTACTACTACTACTACTAGAACTTGTGTAACACTCTCCTTAAATCATATCAGTATAGTAGATAACAAATGTCTGATGTATGTTTATAACAATATTATAGTCTTTAAGTTACTGATGTTTTTTTTTTTTTTTTAGTTTTTTTTTTTATATATGAAGACTTGTGAAATTACAATTTTCCTCTTTACAAATGTACAATTTCTGATGTCACACGAGCATTTATATCATAGTTCATCTACTTCACTCAATAAAGATTATGCATGTACTGTTTTGTTGTACACTGTCTGTCTTGTTTGTTTCATCTCCAGTGTCATCAAAGGATTTAAACAATGTACATTTGATACAATCAATAATAATTTACAGATTTGCCTAATTAGATTTTTTTTTGGAATTACAGTATGGTTACAACAGTTAATCAAAATAATTGTGATTAGCTGACTATAAAAATAATTGTAACTGGACTCTACAGACTCTAAAACACAATCCTACTTTTATAACAAAGGCAGATGCATTACTAAATCTAAAGATCTTTGATAAAATAAGTAACTTGATATTTTCAGTAATACATTTAATACGTAAATCGCCTACAGTCACCATGACTTAACTTACTTGGTTAAAAAATTATATACAAAATCACTGAAGTAGTGTTGAAATTATTGTTTGACTAGTAGACTGACTGAAAAAAACAAAACAAAAAACAGCTGACTAATTGATTAAGAATGCTTCTTGATCAGCAACTGGACTTGAACATGTAATGTCAAATTTACCATGTGATAAGCAGTAGGCCCATATTTATGTAAGTTTAAGTGGTCTATTTTAAACCACTCTATTCCTCAATAACAGTCCTATTTCTATCTCCAAAAGCTCTAGCTTTTGTGTGACGCAGAAGTCCAGAAAAATCAAACACTGCACTTGCGCAGGTCATTTCCATTGCGTCCTTGAAGAAGGGGGTATTTAACAGCTCACCGTGCTGCTCCATGAGTGTCACTTAAGTTGCACGTCTGAGCTGACACATGAAGACAGAGGGACTGCCAGCTGTGCCCTTCAGTGGAAGGAAGCAGAGTCTAATTGACGATGCTCGCAGAGACCGCAGCAGCAGCACCTCCTCCTCTCCGGGACCCTCAAGGCTCGGAGACAACTTTGTATTTGAGGAGAAACATGGCAGGGTCCCTCTCAACATCCTCTTCACCCTCAGCAATCAGAAAAATGCAGGCTTCTTCAAAACTGGAAAGATATTTGAAGTAAGTTACTAATATTTATGGCTCACTAAATCACATTTTGGATTAATAAATCTCATAACAAATACTATTTTGTGTTAAAGTTAGTTCTATGTTGTTAAGGGAAGTAAAATGTTACATTCTAAGTGTTTATGATTTTTATATTTACAGACATTTGAGGCTAAACTTCTTCATATCGAAAGTCGACCTGGGAGGAAAGGAAAGAACAGCAACTCAGATCTAGAATTTTTTATGAAATGTGAGGTCCATAACTCAGACCTGGAGGTGTTCATAAACTCACTTAAGAAAGTAGCAGATGATGTACGCACAATCCCAGAGGAAAAGGGTTAGTATTTCACTGCTTTACAACATGGTTTATTTTTAAATCAAGCTGTTTAAGAATAATATTTTTACTGTACCATTACTGCAGTTCCCTGGTTTCCCAAACAAATTAAAGATCTGGACAGATGTAATGTTTTAATTACCAGATTTGATCCTGAAATGGATTGCGACCATCCTGTGAGTTTTAACCCTTTTCAATGCTTTTTATAGGAAGACATAGCCTATTGTAGATAGTCTAACAAATCCTATATAAGGCCTAATTTAGATTCCATATTTTTCAGGGATACAATGATCCAGAGTACAGGAAAAGACGTGCATATATCTCTGAATTAGCCTTTGGGTATAAACAGTAAGTTAATTTTAGAAAACATTTCGAAATACAAAATCTGTCTGCAGTAATTTAGATCATGCAGTCCTTTATGCACTGTCATCAGGGACGACCCGTTACCTACGGTGGAATACACAGCAGAGGAAGTAGCCACATGGTAAGGACTTTGTCTCTAATATATTAAGAAACAGTACAGTGAAAGTACAGTACAGTGTTGTAATATGTGTTATCCGTGTGTCATAAGGAGACAGGTTTACCTGAAGCTTCGCAGTGCTTATCCAAGTTTGGCCTGTCGCCAGTTTTTAGACGGCCTTCAACAGCTGGAGACAGAGTGTGGCTACAGCGAGGAGCGCATCCCTCAGCTCAGAGACATATCTGCCTTTCTGAAAGGTAAGCTCAGGTTTAATTATAAAAACTGTTAATTAGAGGCCATTAATTAGTTCTGCCAGTGCCTCTGTGAACTATATTGAAGGATTTTGATAAAGGCTACCTGGTGTCATTTTAGAAAGGACGGGTTTCCAGCTGCGCCCAGTCGCGGGCCTTTTATCAGCCAGAGACTTTCTCGCCAGTTTGGCTTTCAGAGTGTTTCAGTGCACGCAGTACATTCGCCATTCCTCTGCGCCCATGCACTCGCCTGAACCGTGAGTTCGATTGACATAGTGACATTTGTAATCCTGCTGTTTTATTTCACACCTCCTCTTTATTTTACAGAGATTGCTGTCATGAACTGCTCGGCCATATTCCCATGTTAGCTGATAAAGAGTTTGCGCAGTTTTCACAGGTAAGCCTGTACAAGAGAACAAGTAATACAGAAATAATACGACTATAAAATTAGTTTTAAAACATAAAAAAAATATCCTAGTATATATTAATGTTATGGAATATCATGCCTTATCAGCCATGTGTCTCCCCAGGAAATTGGATTGGCGTCTCTTGGAGCATCAGATGAGGAAATTGAGAAGCTATCCACAGTGAGTTTACCACAGTGAAAGAAACTGCTTAGTTGGAGTTTGGAGTTCACCGTAAATCCTCGTAAATTACGTCTAGTTGTTTTTCAGATACTATAATAAAATCCATGTTCAAATTGCACTATATGCATCTCTTCCGCCATCTAGTGGCCGTCGTTGTTAATGATCTCTAGTTGCAAAGCCTAATTATGTTGTTTTTTTGTTTGTTTTGTTTATATATATATATATATATATATATATATATATATATATATAGTTGTACTGGTTTACTGTGGAATTTGGACTGTGTAAACAAAATGGAACTGTGAAAGCCTATGGAGCAGGACTACTTTCCTCTTATGGAGAACTTGTGGTAAGTGTCTTTTGAAATAAGACTGTTGTGGATTTTTAGTATTTTCATTTGCTATAAAATGAGATTTTCTGTGCAGTATGCCTTATCCAATGAGCCAGAATATAGGACATTTAATCCAGAGGAGACAGCTGTTCAGCCATACCAGGACCAGACATACCAACCAGTTTACTACGTGTCTGAGAGCTTTGAAGATGCTAAAATTAAAATCAGGTAAGTCTATCATTTTGTGCACAACTAACTCAAAAAAATGAAAATGTAAAGTATGCAAAAATCTATTGAGCCAACACAACTGAAATGTTACCTATTATTTATTATAAGATTAGTTTATGCATATTTCCTATTTATTAAATTGGTTGTGTTTATATGTTCAAAGGCGGTATGCTGCCAGCATCAAGCGTCCATTTGCTGTGTGTTATGATCCATTTACATGCAGAGTGGAAGTCTTAGACCAGCCCAATAAGATCAAGACTGCCCTGAGTCAAATGAGAGAAGACCTTAAGACTCTACAGATTGCACTGGAAAAGCTCAGCTTGTGAGCCTATAACACAAAAATCCTAGATGACTGTTATATATATATATGTTATATATGTATTGTGGATAATGTGTGTATTGTTTGTAAGTCTTGTGAAGACTGTGCAAAAGAATAAATATATTTTTCAAGAACAACTCCGAAAGTCATGTTTTATATACTAGGTCACTTGAAGCTACCGGGACAAACCACAATACATGGTTTACATGTCAGTCTCTCACCGTTAACTCCAAACCAACTATTTTCTTTTGGGGAATTCGTAGAAGCCATTCATCTTCATGTATTAATAAGAAAAGGGAAGAACATAATTACAAATGATTTCTGTATCATGTTCTCTGTTTCAGTGAAGGCCAAAAACCACACTGAGGCTGAGCACGTACAGGGCCAGGTCACTGGGACCTCAAAGCCCACCACAGCACGGTCTACAGGGCTGTGCTGCTGACAGATGCTCTTCTGCATTTGTTGATTTTGCTGTTCATTTCCAGAATCTGGTCTGAGGTTTTGACCAGTTTCCACTGTTTGATCTCAACAATGGTGATAGTGCACGTCAGAATTTCAGATGTTATTGCTTTCCCTTCTCGAGAAGTGAAATCATACCCACATTGGCAAGTTTTATGGTATTAACAACGACTGAGATTACGCACTGCTGAAAATCTTTCATTTTGATGTAGCTGAGTTCAAATTAAATTAGGCTTGGGTCTGTTCACAAACTGAGAAAAAAGGTGAGGACAGTGAAGTCAGTACCAAAGTTTGTGAAGTGTACTGGTCAATAAGGACATAAGAGTGGTGCTGCAGTATTTCTACATGTATAATCTGTAAACTGGATTTTTTTACAGAATTTGACACAGGTTAAAATCCATAATGAACAGAAAATAATTACTGACATCTGACCTTCAGATATATTTTGTCATGATTTAGAAGAATAATTTTAGCCACTGAAAGATGGTTAATTAAACCATTGCACTGGACTCACTTGTTAACTGCCGAATGTTTCCCAACAAGTAAAATGATGGAACGACCCAGGGATGTAGTTATTTCATAAAACCACTAGGGTGAGTCCTGTCATAAAAGTAGTAAACATTTTCATTGCAACAACAAAGGAGGTTTTGTCACTGGTTGTGGTTACATGCACTCTCAAAATCTGATTATCAGATTTTTGGTATTTTAAGTCTTTATAATTACATGTAAACAGCAAAATCATCTGATTTCTTTCTGACCATGGTGCCTCTGATTACTCACATCAGATTTTGCAGTTAGCATGTCCTTCAAGTAATTTCAAAGCTCTAGAAATCAGATAATAAATCAGATTATAGTGTTCATGAAAATTTTGCTGGAGGAACTGCTGGAGGAATATACTTACTTAAAATACTTAACTTAACTTACTTAACTTAAAATACAATAAACTATAACAATAAATTATACAATGTTGAAAAATACTTTATTATATAAAGCAATAATAAGAGATCAGGAACAGTTTTAAGGGGATAGTTACATTTCAGTCATCCAAAAGCAAAGCTTCCTGTCCCCACCAATCACACAGAGTGGGAGAGTGCGGTGCCAGCTGAGGCCTGATCCAACTGCTGCTGATCCAATCATTACAGGCTAAAAGACAGAAATATGTGACTTGAAACTTGACTTTGAAAGGAGGGGAAAACAGATAAAAATGTCAAACCTGTGGATGTCCCAGGTGATGGATAAGCAGCTGACTACTGATCTTTCCAGGACATCCAGTGGTTGCAAAGAGATTTTCATTTGCTCGTGACCACCTACAGTATACCACAGAAACAATAAATCAGAATTAACATTTGATATTCAATGTGTATGCATTGTAGTCACATTATGACTTACTAAGATGGAAAACAAATATCTTACTTGAATAGGCATGCTTTATCTATATGGGCAGGTCTTTTCTCATTTGGATAACTGCAAAATAAAGAAAGATTTCACATAGAATAGCCTTGAAAAGTCTTGTTTGCACATGACGTGTTGCCAACTGACCTGGAGCGAGCTATGTCCCAGATGAGCCAGTCATTTCCAGCCACAGCTCCGACTTTAATGGTGTTGGTAAGGCACCAATCAGCTGACATTAGCGGTGCCTGGCCACAATCCAATGAGAGAATGGCCTGCTGGGTAACCAAATCATAGAAACGTATTGTGCCCTTCTTTTCTGCCACCATTAACTGAAAAATACAACACACAGTCAGCATGTTTAAGACTGCAATAAAATGCATTTAGAAGGCTATTAAACCACACTATTTCATACTTTAAATACTTCTTCAGGATGCCAGCACACACTAATGCCTGGAGAGCGAAGTCTGAGTGTAGCGCTTTCATTTCCATCTAAGTCCCACACCCTAAGCACAAAAATCAAAATACAAGACACAAGATATTAACTGCTCAAAAATGTCAGTAAAGTTTTAAGTTTCTAGATTGCAGCTATTAGTGTTGTGAAAAAAAATATATAAATTTTTGCTAATTATAAACTAAATGGATGAAGGGATACCTCATCTCCACTATGTTTTTTTTCAGTAACATTCAAAACAGTCAGTGTACACCTATAGTAGTTTGTTGATATGGATTATCTGATTTATATGCCCTGAAGCTGCTCTTGCAATTAAATTCCTATGCTGATGCTTTTGGTAAAATTGATCACCACTATCACCACAGAGTGTCTCTGAGAATGAAAGACAGCCCTTTTTACAATTATTACATGAGATTATGTATGCATGTAAGATATGTAAAAATTATATGTACTGAATATCGTTAAAAAAAAAGTGTGTGAACCTCCATATACTAGTTGGGTTAAGGGAAGTTAACGCAGACCACAGTGGCAAAACAAGGACTAAACCCTATTGTATCAGCCCACTATCACGCAGCGCTCAGATGCACGCTACACCACCAATAGCTAAACTGTGGTCAACCACTCTTCCCATCAAATGGTAAGCATCAGCTCCCAAAAAAACATAACCTTTACTGATCGAGGTGAAACCCAAGAGATACGAAACACACCCAGAGGAAAGAAAACAGAGAAATTGCATAAGGCTACATCATATAATCACACTGTGCTTCCATCTAAAAAGAGTTGAAAAGGATATGTGAAAACCTTTATTTCTTTATCTAATTGAGAAAACAGCAAAGCAGCAGTTTTACGGATTTCCTAAAATCACAGGAAACAGGAAATTTTGCTAACACTGTGTGATCTGATTTATTATACAGAATGGTGTAAATAATCAAAAGTGACTCTCTGCAGGGAGAGAAACCGAGATCAAATCCCAGACACCTAAAAGAGCAGCCAGGACTGAAGTACACACTGTCCTTCTGTGCAGTGGGGAAGCATCTAACTTTCCCATTGTTTTCTGTATATATCTGATTTAACACTTTTATCATAGTTACACTAGTCAGCTTTTGGACCAATGTGCAACTGTTTTGACTGTTAAAAGTAAAAGCTCATAAGACATCTGACAATATTTCCGAGATGACACAGAAACAAATGGATTTCCACTCATACCTTGAGTTGAGAACCATGCAGTTCTCACTTGAGAGCCCTAGGTGGAGACTGCAGCTAGACCTACTCGCGCGACGGGCTACCTAAAGCTGTTGGGACCATGTTAGCTTAAGGTAATCACCACTGAGGAAGTTTACCCGGTTCCCTGCCTACACTCTTCAGGGTCAAATTTCATGTAGGCAACTACAAGATTTCCCACATCTGCAGGGGACACTGATGACAAAGCAAAGCACTGCCAAATTCAACAGTGATGAGGAGGTCCTGAGATCATATACATGAAGAATATACACTTTCCCTCCCTCCATTTCAGAGGAACAGTGTACTTTGCTTATCCTGCGGCTCAGTTTGTGTGGGCTGACTCATGATCTGCTTCTGTAAACTTGATCTATCCCTAGCTCCCATATTTTCTCAACATGACAGAACAGAAATCTTTCAGCAGATGGAGCACATTTCTGTGTTCTCTGGACAGACAGAAAAAGAAGAAGAGCAGAGATGATGGGAACATAGAGCCCAGATCGTCATCAAATATTCACAAGATTAATTTCTATGTTTGTATTAGGACATTTGGGAACATCTTACTAGCAAGTCATCAAATGCTAATAAGATGTCCATAATTAGAAAATTAGAAAACATAAAGGTGAAGTATTGTGATTAGGATAATGTTTCTTTTGCACAAAATATGGTCAGGACTTTCTGCTCCATTTAAAGAGAACAGAGGTTAAAGTTTATACTTAGAGAGATACAAAGAAAAAAAAAGTATAAAATATAACCTGCAAGTGTGATCATCACTGACGGAGGCAATTTGTTTGCCCTCAGTTGGCTCAAACACCAAATGGTTAATGTAGCTTGTGTGGCCTTCCATCATCTACATAATAGCAAAGAAAACATTTTCCATAACAAATCATTTAGAAATCATTGTTTCTACATGTCCAGTGATAGGGAGTATTTTTGTCTGTGCTTAAAATATTTTTTTTACCTTGACTTCATGCTTGTCCTGAAGATCTGAAGTCAATAGGCGTAGTCTTCTGTCAGCTGCAGCAGTGCAGAATCTAAGAAAAGAGTTTGATGAATAGTCAATAGGCTGGATGTCTAAAAGAGAAATATAAATAGTAATCAGTGTGCCTGGTGAAAAATAGGGTGGTGCTGAAAACGACAGATCTTGATTGCAACCAAAAAACACACAACTCCTCATGGCATTTATGTCTCTGTCTAAAAGCTTTACAATGCCCCACCATATTTCCCTCTAATCAGGCTTAGTGTATACATGGGCCAAGCAAGCATTCAAATAATTACACTTACTCATTTATGACAAGAAAAACACACTCATATGACTCAAATAAACAGACAGCGGTTTACACATTCTAAGAGGATTCGTTTAATTTGGCATGATGTCACATTCCTGTAGAATACATTAGGACAGTACTAACAGGATTAAACAATGGCAATTATTACATTTTTGTGATTTAATCTAGTGTCCGTTTTTAGTTCTGTTGTCGCGTCCTTAGGCAAGACAATTTACACTTTACCAACCTTACCTAGTATTAAAGTGGGTGAGTCATTGGTGGTGGTCTGAGGGGAAGATGTTGCAAATTGGCAGACTCGCTTCCATGAGTCTGCCCCAGGGCAGCTGTGGCTACAATAGTAGCTTACCACTGAGTATGAAGTGAATGACTAATGACTACACTCTAATGCTTTATGAGGCATTCACAAGCCTGTATAGCACATTGCAAGTGTAAGGCATCAATTCTCATCGCAAGTTACTGCTTATCAAAATTATGGGATACATTAGCTTTTACTTTTATAGCACACGTGTTATGTGAAAATGAACCATCATGACCTGATGTGGGGAATTCTGTCCAGGTGAGACTCTGGACTCCAAGCAAGAGCATCAACACGCACTTCATGATGAAAAGCTCGAAGAACAGTAAATTCGACACCTTCAATGTCCAAATCCTCCTCCTGAAAAATACATCCATCCCCCCCAGGTTACAATTTATAATGGCTTATATTAAAGACATGACCTTACCTGAAAGAGGCAAGTTCCAACTACTACATATTGGTTTCCACCATAAGCTAAAAGAGATGCTGGGGTCCCAGAAGGGAATGGGTTGAATTCAACAACATTAACATAGTCATCACATGACACAGTGTAGCTGGGGCTACGACTACTGTCTTCGTGCACTGTACCTGTAAAGAGGAGGATGAGTGAATTAATAAGTAAAGATATCCATAACACAGCACTTATAATTAATACGTAAATGGCTAAAATGTTGGCTTTTTCCACTATGGAAAGACAAGCAAGTGTACAATTAAGATACTAGTTTGTAGATATAAATATATTCTAAATCTTAGAAACATTCGACGTACCCATTCTTTTTATCCTTGAAGCTTCCAATAATGAGTTTTATTGCTATCGTTTTGAGTGGTGCGCGCATATGGAGTTGTTCAACCTACTTCCGGGTACGACATGCAGCTTGGCAGACTGTACCATTGTGCAGTTCTGTGTAGGGGAACTTGTAACAACGGTGTCAACACACTGGGATGAATACAACATATTAATGATGCTCTTATACATCTTCATATATTTAATACATTTAGTCTTATTATGACGATTTACATACTTACTTCAAATGCTAATAAAGCGAGAAATAATTGTAGGACAGCGCTATCACTCCCGTTGCACGTTGCTTTGTTCATGGCCCCCAACGTCACTGGGTGTTTAAAAATTCAAACATCTGCGTCGTGTTTGGCTTTGGCGACTATGTTAAAAGCGGTTTGCTGACCTGTTTAGTTTATCGATATTTTACTTCATAAACCTTGCGTGTTTTGAAGTGATATTACTATTATTTTAACATTACAGTGGTGTTTGCCGGTGCACAATGCAGTCTCCAGAAGAACTTCTCGGGCTGATGGTGAAGACTTTCAGGAGAGAATGCCACAGAGTTCAACAGTCTGAGAGGACCACCATTCAAGGAGTAGATGGCATGCTCATGGTGCTCCAGCTCGCCGTGGCAGAAGTTAATAAAAGGGTAACAAACTCGTGCATATCTGAAAAGTTTCACTTTAAATCTTACTATCTGATGATATTTTTTTTCCTTTATAATAGCAACGTGGAGAGTTTATGGTGACCCTAAGTGATATCTTAGTGGCCTGGAAACACTTAATTTTACACAAACTTAATTTGCTGCCACCATGCTCTGTACCTTTGGAAAGTTATAGTCTCATTCTTAAAGAATATAAATCTTTCCTGAAGTGCTCAAACACTGTGGATCTGTTGGATATTTACTCCATGTACAAAGAACTGAAAGTGGATTTTGATCCAGAGATTTCCTTGAATGCCGTAAGTAAGAGTGTTGTGAGTATATTGATTTGCTTATTTATTTATTTTTTTTATTTATCTGTTCTTTCTTTCCTTTTTAGACCCATCTTTTTGAGTATTTGCATGGAGACACAAGAGCTGCTGAGACTGAGGACACTTCTGCTCCATCTACACCATCTAGTACACCAAGGAGGTGTAGTCCACAAGTATGCAGCCTCAAAGATGCGACCTTTGATCTAATGACCATGTGATTTAATCCCATCTACTTTATTTTTATAGCACATTTTACAAACAAATACTGCATCACAAAGTGCAATAAAATTATGGAAATAAATAGATCCATAAAAAAAATATATATTTTTAAAAATTGCTAGATGTAGATAAAGAACAAAAATGTATACATTTACATTTGCTTTATCCCATTTCAAAAACATATGTTGGTATTTTATTCAGTCAGTAAGCTTTGTCATTGTTTGGCAGTTAGTTCTGCCTCAATTGGGGGGGGAAAAAAAAAACATACCAAAACCAACACAATGGTGGAAAGAAATGTTTTTTTGGTAAATTGCATCCAATCATTTATTTAAATATCTTTACTCTTGTAAACAGATCCAAACCGCGGTGAGACGTGTTTTCTGCTCATATCTGAGTCTACTGGTGAATTCCAAGAATGACCTGGCCATGACACTAACTCTAGATGTCCCAAAACGCAGTCTTGGGCGAGATGCCTTTACAAGCATTAAACATGTTGCCCGTGATGGCAATACCTCTCTCTTTCTGGTAAGGACCACACAAGCCCAAGGCCATAATATCAAATACAATGGCATCTTTTTATTTTTTGTACAACACAACATTTATCAAGACAAAGATAATAGACTTGATACCATGTTATAGCAAGAAGTCCAATTTTCAGTGTCTGGACTACAACCAATAACCAAAGTGTAATAAATCTTGTATTTTAACAATGCAATGGAAAACCATGACTTATTTTGAGTAACTTCTGTTGTTTGGTGATTAGGCTGTTACATCCTTTGTGAGAGCCATTCAACTTGGAGGAAAGGGCTATGCCCCGGCAGAATCTCATCCATTAAGAAAACATATAAAAGGCCTGTCTGACTTTGTACAAGTTATAGACAACTTGGAAGAAATACTTGGCGAGGTACCAGACCCAAGGTAAACTTAAACCCAACTTGTAATTGATCCATTTTCAGTTCAGTGTTATCCATGTTGGCTGTATAAAGCCTTTGAACCTCTTGTTGTATTATCAGTAAACCTCATCAACCACACATCATTCATAGAAATAGTGCTTGTGTTGATTTTCAAATTGACAACAGCTCTAAAACTTGTAACATGTGATCACATTTTCAGTGTATGCTGCACTAGGCTTGTGACAGCCATCAGAGCACTTCTTGTGAAGGGACACAGCAGTGGAGATCCTGTGTACATGGCAGCCCACAAAACTGCTAAAGATCTAAAGGAAAGAATCTTTCAGCTGCATCAAAGTCACAAACTGACCACTAATGAAAGCATGACAGGAATAAGTCCTGCCAGGGTAACTTCACATCTTTAGTCTTTATGCTTTTCACAATTCAGCTGGCTTACATGTTTGTTGTCGGGTACTTGTTTCTGTGTTGTCTCTTTTTTACTAGCCAAAGGCATATGCAATCAACCATGCTACTGCATTAGGAGGGCGTGATACTGTGAAACTGCTCATGGCATTATTGGATGAAGAAGCTTTAATTACTCCTTGTCCAAACAAAGCTGACCTGTTATCAGAGGATCAGCCTATACTAAATGGAGAAGAGGGCATCTGTGTGCTCACATTATACAGGTGGATCTTTTTGATTTTAGAAATTTTTTTGTAATATATGACAAAATGTGTGAAGATCAGATGATTATAATCACAAATTTCTTTTGCCGGGTATTCCGGTATTTTCTGCCAACACCTATGGCTTTACTGGTGTCAAGAATACTGTAAAAACTTGATTATAAACTAAAACGTTCCTCTATTATTTACATATTAGATCTCCTGAAGTGTCCATGGGATGCTCTCCAGTTTCCTTGACCAAGAGGGTACAAAGTCGGCTAGAACTGCTTAGACCTAAGGTAACCTGGTCTTCCTTTTTTAATAATGTAATTTTACCTAATGTAATAAAGTACTGCAAGAATCTAATTCCGTGTAAAGAATAAGAATAAAACTAAAATCAGATTAAATCCTGAATGCAATATGGATAAAACCGAGCAGTGCAGTGCAGACGGAATAAATCCATATTTTTAGGTATTTGTGTTACACTCATTTCCACACATGTTTTAGCTGTGTTAATCAAGTCACCACAATATCAATGTGCATATCTAAATAATCTCTTCTAATTTAATGTCTTCATATCCTAAAGTTTGGACAAAATGACAATTTCCATGATTTGGTAACCTAGGGATTAAAATATCTGAACCATGTGTTACCATTATACAGATTGGAAAAAAGGAAAACAAGGTGTACCAACAGTAAAAAAAAAAACAAAAAAAACAACTTTTTTTTAACGTACATGCAAACCCAGTTTGCAAAAAGTGCTTTAGCAGATGTCATTTTAGCTCCCCACAATCTGGCTCCCTTCCTGTTTGAGTGCGCTGTAATGGTCCCTGGGCAGCTCACCGTTTCCTGAACTCGTGAGCGGAAGCTTTCTGCATCAATTTCACTTTGAAGATGCCATATCAGATGCTTGGCTAGACTGGCAAGGGAAACTAGAAAGGTTATTGTTTCCTGTTGTCTGCTGAATGACTTTCTCCATAAATCTGTCTCCAATGCTGTCATCATGCTCTTGCATCAGAACTATATTGTGTTTTAAGGACTGCAAATGAAATTATTTTTTTTAATGTAAAATGCATATTTAATTTGACAATTGTATTGTTTTTTTTTTTAAATGTTCACATAAGCAGTGCACCTGCTGCATGCTTTCAAATCAGGGGTAATGTGCATTATCTTCTTGGGTGGCGCAGTATAGTTGACATATATAGGGCCACTTTCCTTTTGCATCTGTCAGACCATTGGGCTTTTAACTAGTTTAACTGAATTAAATTGAATCCCACCTTTCAGTGTGTCATTTATCTAATGTATAAACCAAGTTTTGCAATTTCTTTAAAAAAACAAACAAACAGCTAATCAGCCAAATGTACTGAAGTATTCAAGTCCCTGTCCTAATTGGAGTGTCTTTCAGGTAAAAGACAAGGGTATAAGATCTCAGTTTGCCTGCACCTACATCGATGATGAGTTGCCCCTGAACCGTGTTCTGGAGTTCCCCAGTACCAGTCAGGTGCCAACATGTGTTCACCCAGCTCCCAAACCCAGATGGATGTCAAGGGAAGAGGAGTGCTGTCAAAATGTGGACGCAGGTAAAACTTCAAAACGTTTTGTACTGCATTGAGAGAAGAGTATTGTTGTAACACTCTTTCGGCAAAGATTGGGTTTCTTCTGACGTCATCCAGCTGGTTGAGGCCCAGGTGCAGCCTCTCAGCTTCAGCCCTGACCTCTTTCTATCCCCAGCTCTGGGACTGGTACTTGCATCAGCCATTAAATGAATCCCCATTCTATGAAAGCTTCTCAGCCCCACATCTGTAGTAGACTAAAGCACACACATTTGCCTTTTTCCCTTCTGTCTTTCGTTTTGTGGGAATTCAGGCTTGGCCCCATCAAGTTACATGACAAATGTTCACTTTCAGTCTCATAGAATAACCATACGGCCTGCCTCAACGTCAGCAGTTTCGTCAGAATTGTTCTCATTTTTTTCACACACTTGTCACAGAATTGCTTTTGCCTTATTTCATTTCAGAAAACTCTGCCTTTGAAAGCTCCAACACTGACACAAGTAGCTTGCAGCAGCATGCTGCACTTGGGTCCAGGACTGGAAATGCCCATAACAGGGTTGCTGGGCCAGGCAAAAGAAAGAAAACTGGCATAGATGTTCAAATCAAGTCTAACAAGAGGAAACAGGTGGAGACTGACCAGCCTGAAGGGTCAGAAAATGAGCCTCCAAAGAAGAAACCTCCCACTACTGTGAAAAATCCTGGTAAAGCCATCAGCAAGCCTACAAATAAAAAGCTGATAGCTGGACAGGGCAAGCTTACAAACTTCTTCAGACTGTAAATTATGTTTCCCTGACTCATTTGTGTTCAGTTTTCAATGATTTATGTATTTTTTTTTAAATGAAAGAACTAATGGTCACCTTCAAATGTCTCCTTTTTTTTATACCTGAATATAATGGTCTAAATGATCTTTTCAAGAATGACAAATTGGAATTACAACAACCAAACTTTTAATAAACTTTTATTTGTCTTTTTCATTCTTTGCTTTTTAACCGATTTATGATAGCCATGATGCTATTTGTATACATTTCTGAAGTATTTATACTTCCCAGCAGGGCCGGTAAACTCTTCCAATCATGCACCGTAGCACTGCAAACGGAAGACAACAATCAATACTTGTATTGTCTTAAGCTGTATTGCATATCAGACACATAAATTAAATTGTGTATGATACCTACTGTCAAGGTCAGTGTCTCTGCGATCCATTTTGGTAATGGATTCAGGAAAACGTCCAACATTCCGATCTGTGAGCAGAGTGTTGCCACGGGTGAAAGTGGGAATCATCCCACCAGTGTCTTGTCCCCTCAGGTACATATCCTTGAAAACAATTTTAAATACTTTCATTCAACGCATTAGATCTCACAGACTTCCACAATTTAGTATTCAAACTTTGCTATTCTGTTGAAGCACAGGTGTTGGGTGATCCAAACCACAAGCCCCCCAAATGGAACAAATGTGTGTCCCTGTTTTTACGACTTTACAGTGGCTGATTTCTTTTCCCATGGTGTGGTTCATCCAGGAGGCTTCACTCTCTCCATCAATGAAAGCCTGTTCCCAATTATTGCAGAGATAAGCAACATATTCACGACACCAGAGGAATACCAGTTTTTATATTCTGCCAAACTCTCCCATTTTTATGGTATTTCCCCTTTCCCGAGGTGCTATAAAATTATTTCATAGATACGTACAAAGATTTAAGATTTCAGTGGACAATGGAAAAAACTTCAATTGCAGAGCTGCTGTGTTGTTGCTATAAACTACAAGTTCATTCATAAAATACTTATTCCTTATACCTGATCTTACCTTTTTATTTCATTTGAATCATTTAGTGCAGGTACGACATTCAATTCACTGAAGTCTATTTTTCCTGTTATTTTAGGACTTAGGACATGAGTCAGTGGGTTCTTAATAGTAATATAGCACTTACCGATAGCATATTGACCTGTGGAGTTCCCTTATCATCACGGATGTTGGTACCCAGACCAGTGCTGCTCCTGTGCATTAAAAATGCCAAGGCTGGCTCAGAGATGGTCTGATCATTCAGCATTAAATCCAAGGCTTCTTGTTCATTCGTGCTGTCACCAGCATTGCTTGCTGGCGAAGCTATGGCCACCCATTGGCTGCTTAGCTCCGAGAACAGGACTAGAGTAAACAAAACTGAAAATAATGACATTATAACTTCTCTATATAATGCAGCCTGCTATTTAGTGTTCTACTGACTGTGGTAGCTTTACTTTTCGGTGTCCTATATATGGGGGAAGTTACTATTTGGTATTTAAATAAGAAACGTTAAACGTCAACAAGACATTTCAAGAGTTTCATGATTTAATATGATCAAATAAGGAGGCCTAAATAAGGAGGCCTACCTGGATTATCTTAAGCCTATTAAGAGGCATACAAGAGTGCAGAAGGACAGAGTAATCTTGGTACATTAATAGAAGATGCCCGCAGAGTGTGTAGTGGACTTCATCAGAGGTTTTTGCTAAGCAAAAAATCCTGAAATGGATCACCCGTTGTGACAGGGCAATGCTGTTATTGAGGTTACTGGTATCTGTAAGGGTCACAGAAAGAGGTGAGCAGCGACATAATCTCGTACGTCAATGCCTTTTGTACATGCCTTACACCGGCATGATTAAAGGGAGTTAAACTAAGTAAAGATGTTGACATGTGCTTCTTTGCTCCAAGAGTTACCTTATTAACATCACAGATGTCATAGTTCAAAATATGAGGCAGGAGGTGTGTAAAAGCTGAGGCCGGCTGAAGTAATTTTGCTTGGAGCGTTCAGTCTTTATTTTGTAAGTATTATTGTTGGAAGATGAGGGGCTTCTACGGGAGAACCACATGTGTCCAGTGGGAGACAGCAGTTCCAGTAGAAACTCAACCAAATGATGTGGCATTATGCCCATAGGTCACATTCTCCAGCTCTCTCAGGAACAAAAATGATCAAATAGCCTAATAAAATTTAAGAATAATGATTTTTTTATGCTGACTGTATAATTTATTTATCATTGCAAATTATTTGCAATGATAAATATTTTTTTCTATAGTTGGACAGGAGTTTTGTTGCCCTGTGAACCAACCATAGTTTCCTGGAACAATGCAGCTGATCTGAGTCTCTCCAAGGAAAATAACACCCTGACATCACAGGCTCTTAAATCACAGGCCAAAGCAAACACAAGCTATAATCAAACTTCTGTGAATTTCCAGAATCAATTTAAAGAAAAAAGAAATCATCAGTTTGAGAATGCGACTTATTAATGTTCTTGTGCTTTTATTTGGTGACTGATCTGCATCTTTACACATTAGGCTATACTTCTCTATGACAAAAATAACATAAAAATCAGATATGTTGCTTTGTCACATACTTAAAGAGGTTATTGTTGTACTAATGCATAATGTACTTTTTCCCCCTAACTGATACACTTATATAATGAAAGTCATCCGTCTTTAGAAGGTTGATAGACTCCTGAGACACAAAAAAAACTAAAACAGTATTTCAAGGCTCAATCTGAACTGTATCACAAACTTAATCCAAAAATGTTCATTTTGTCTTCTTATGTACATTTAACTTCTTGGGTTCTTTTAAAAGACAATACACTAGAACTGTCCAGTTCTGAAGATAGCTTGCAGCTAGCACCTGAAACATGTCAACAAGGTAAGTATACCTCCTACTACATTGTCTTTTAAAAGAACCTAAAAAGTTAAATGTATTAGAAACAGTTAAATTCATGACTCAGTGGATGAATTACTTTGGGGATCTCAAAACATTGGTAAACTGGTACTTGGCACGTGTTTTCCAAAATACATTCATTCATAATGGACAAGCTGCCTTGATAAACTTGATCCAACCACTGATAATAAAATTATATTTCTTATGTATTCACTTTTGAATCTTTTGTTTTTTCTTTAGAAGAAAACCCGCCTGCTGCTCTGGTCTACCTAGCCCTGTTGGCTTTGGCACAACTCTCCAACTCTGAGAATCACTTTGACATTCAATATACTCTTACACACAGCAGTTACAACTTTCCCACTGAAGAGACAGCTCAGCTGTGGCCTCAACAGGAACTGAAATCCACACAGAGAGAGAGAAAGAGAGAGTGAGAGAGAGTGTTGTGTAAATGTAACTAAAACAAAACAAAACACGTCTCATTTATTCCATTGAAGGTGTGAGTGGATCTGTACTGAATAACTCTACAGTCAGTTAATTTGTACATGTGGTTTATTCAGCAGGAACTGTGGACAATTTAGTTCATACTTTCTTGTACAGAAGGCAACCAAGCAGCAGATTTCAGCATTTTCAATATTAGGTAATATGTGACCTTATGCTTACAAACAACTAATAGTTAGCTGAAGGGGCAATTCTTTTGCTTAAAAAACTCAAACTGATAGGTCCTCTTTAACACTTGTTACACAAGTTGTACAGAGCCAAAACACAAAGATAATTTAATATTTAGTCATTATATGACACAGTAATGGTCTTTGGTAGTAAAATACAACAGTAATTTACACTGCAGTAAATTAAGGTCAGGGCTTAAACCAAAATATGCAATGCCAGTTTTGTAGATTAATATATATAATAATATATCTGTTATAAGTTACTTCCAATTACAAAGGTGTAGTTTCAAATACATCTGTGCCACCACACTCAACTTCAATGCACAACAATGATTTATACTTGATTTGTACAGGGACGAGACACATTTGCTCCCAACCATGTTTTAATCATTTTCCTGGCATTTTCTGAACAAAATGGCACAATTGTTTCTTCTTTGGGACAAATCACATCTTACTATAACCAATAATGTAAACCAGAAAAGTTATTCTAATTTTGTTTCTCCTTTTCCATGGCACAGGTTAGAGTGGGAGCTCCAGTCCATTGATTTAAACAAAAGCTTGAATTTGCAAAATTTTAAATTGCAGTTAGATAAATTTCCAAAGCTGCACAAAAAATGCCGACGTTTGTTCTGTGGCATCCTAGATAACCTCTTTTGGGCTTATTTGCGAGACCTTGCAACTAAATGACAATGTACATTTATTCAAATATAATGTTAAATTTAAATAATAGTCTCCCATCATTTATATAGTTTCAATGTTGTTTTTATCTTTTCTTTTTCTTCTTCTTCTTTTTTTTTTTTTTTTTTTTTTTTTTTTTTTAACTAATTCAGTCACATGTCGATTAAAAAAAAAAGATTAAAAAAACACACACACAGTTCTGCATTATTTTGGGGTATAAGTGAGAGACAAAAATATATATATATATGTTTATAGATTGGGGAAATAATTCAGGAGTCAAAGGGATAAACCAGTGGCCACACAGCTGTGCAAAAGGGAGGATCTGTGATATAAGCCCCATCTGTGTGTGTCTGCAAACCAAACCACAAAAAGCACCATACAGAAGGGATTTCTTTATCCAAATAAAACCCCATGTGATCAGAACAATACTGCTTAGGTTAATACAAAGTCCAGAAGAGTTTACACAATATGTGTTTGTGGATGTTGATTAGGTGTCCTGTCCTACCAATGAGCACATAAATCCAGTTTCTCAGAGGTAGATGTCTCTTCAAAGTGTGGTCCATTTGCCCAGCACTATGTGATTGTTTTTCTCTAACCAAGCCATGAGGCGAAACAACTCTCAGATGGAGGTGTAAACACTTATTTGTGTCTCAGCAGCTTAGTCCTTCAGATGTCCCAGTGTGGAATGGTGCAGTGTTTCAGGTCCTACACAAACCTTTTAGAGACCTGCTAGTTTACATTGAACCATGCCACAGCGACACCAGGTAAGGCCATTCCTTTTGCTTTTGCTGGGCTTTTGTCCATCCACTTTCTTCTTATATTCTGAAACTTCTACCAGCTGCACTGCCTCGGCTTGAATTTTTTTGATGAACTTCCTGTGGCAAAAGGACATTTGAGTAGAAACATTATAATTTCTTAATGTCAGGACCAAAATAATATTGACTGTTGTGGCAGATACCTTAAAGGATGAATGGCTGTGGCTCTGTGTTGATCTCTGTGGAAAAAAGACAAGTTAAACTTTGCCTCTCATGTACAGTTAAAAAAATGAATAGGTCTGAAACACACATAACACACAGGTGTTACTGCGTTGAGATATTATCTCGAATGTACTTGAGATAAATGTGTCTTTCAGTTGCTTCACCTAAAACCTTTGAAGCTTCTGAATTTTTGGACTAACCTTTCGTACACATTTAAATTATAATCACTAATCTAACATCTTTCCTGTGCACCATGATTGGAGAATGTATCGTTGTAATCAGTACTTCCATTTTCAGGGTATGCTCACCTTCTTGTTTTTTGGCTTGTCTGGCTGCTTTGCTGTCCTACGCTCTGACCTCTTGTCCACTTGCTCTGCAGTACTAACCTTGGCAGGCCTGGGCACGTCTGTGTGGCGCTGTGAGCGCACAGAGCGAGGAGGCTTGCTCGTCTTAGATGGAGCACAGTACATCTCCAGGCGCCGCAGCTCACAGCTCTGGAAACAGCATTCATCCACAATACCCCGTGACCGCCGAGAATTTGGACCATAGCCTGTTGGCTTACCTGTTTCAAAGGTCAGGACAATACAAACAGTTAGATATAATACATTTGTTCCTCTATACCTGATTATATGCACATGTGTGGCAGGCTGTATGGGCACTACTTGTGACTAGTCACCATTTGTGTCTGAGTCATGTAGCTTTAAATAGATACAACTTTGTATACAAAAAATAAATAAAATAAAAATCTGTTAATGTTCTAAAATACTTCACTTGCACCAGTGAGACAATGCATCTTACAAGTAGCCTACAAGACCTTTTTCTTTAATTTGTACCATGATGTAGAACAAGGAACTAAAAATAACTCTTTGCATTATTTAGCAGTGAAAATGGATTTAGTTCCATCTTAAAAGCTACTTAAAAATCCTCCTTCTAATGTTTACATAAAAGTATGGATATTGTTGCAGCAACAAAATGATCAGTGACCTTCATTTAACAATGCTGTACATAAACTGGTGCAGAAATAAATGTAGAAATGCATTCTTTAAATAAAATGTGCAGATAATGACAGTGCATAAGGGGTGTTCACAGATCTAACTGACTGAACTATAATGGCTCTATTTTAACCCCGACTCTTACAGAAGTGCAGGGAGTGGCTGAAGGTGGCTCTGCCCAGACAGCACTAATTAACATGTTAAAGTTTCTTAACATTAACACTATTTTGAAGGTTGTATGTATTTTATTATTTGCATAGACATCTGATTATAATGATATCAGGCTATAGGCAACAGCACAGTAATGTTACATGTGTGGTGCCATGTACATTTTGACTGTGTTTTTATTGCACACTTACTGGTTTTGGTCAGAGGGACAGATGACACGGATTGGCAGTCTGCTGCAAGGCAGTTGTGGCTGCAGTAGTTGCTTACTAAAACTGAAAAGTTTGTATGGTGTTTTGCAAGGTGTTAGATAAATAAAATACATGTATTATTATTATTATTATTATTATTATTATTATTATTATTATTATTATTATTATTAAAACCAGTAATAATGATAATATTCATAATAAAAAGGATTATATGTGGGTTCAGTGTAACTCGCGTGAAAGGGAAGAGTCATCATCCTGTAATCCACATAATCTCCTGCAGTTGAAGGACAAGTGAACTGTGTGCGTGGCTTTGTGCAAATGCCTGTGTGCAGAATGCATGCATGGGCTTTCTGCAGTAAACTAGAGTGCAAATGCACTCTATCTAAGTGAATTTTATTTTTAAACCAACAATAAAGTTTTAACCAATGATAGTTTACTTATGCGACTTGTGCCTTGGGAATAGGAATTTGTTCCAACGTGTTCCAGTTTAAGAATAAGGTAAAGCCAAAACAAGATTTTATGTGGTGTTTTATTCATGAAAAAGATGAGAAGCGCTGCGACAGTTAGGGCCAATCTTCATTAATAATTAAAAAGGTGCACTCACTGAAATAAAAGCCTCGATCTCCACACACAAACTGAAGAGTGTCAACCAGCTCCGCCCCGCACAGGGTCTCTGGCCCCGCCCCTGCAGCCGCTGGAGTCAGCGTGAAAACGCACAGTAGTGAAAGGGCGTGGCTACAGAGGATACAGCACATCACACTCTGCACAGAGAGACCGGGGCACAGTTAAGCACGCAATTGCGCTTTCATACATCAAGCAGCATTACTGTTTTGGCAATATTCAACACAGCCACAATTTCAAAACGAAAATCGTTGGACTTCATTGCCAAATCTTGATTTTCTTTTCCCATTGGGAATGATTTATTCCTGAAAAAAGTTGGTTAAGCTGCAAGCAAAACTGGCACACAAAGATACATATTCAGTGCACAACTGTATCCAACTGGAGAACGTAAAGCGCCGTTTCAGGCTACGTGTCATCACACCTGCGTGCACTGTTGAATATCATTTTGCAGATCTCCTGGATTATTTCTATGCCTAGATGCAAATGGGTTCATTAAAAGTAAATAACCATAGTCTAATTATAATCATGCGTCCCCTCTATTTATGCCCCAAAATTACAATTAAAACGGTTATTTTCGTTAAATAGGCTACGAAACAAAAATATTGGGCTACTCCTCATATCTTATACATTTTATAAAAAGCACCTCAACAGTAATTACACTGCAGAGTTTGATGTGATTTTTGGTTGAAAGGAGTACGAGCGCACAGAGGGGTGTAGGGATGAAAATCATTAATCACTGCGCATGGAGATCTTAACAATGAATATCAAGATACCCGAATGATAATGACAGGGATAAGGCAGTCTTGTGATAAGGAAAGAAAAAGTCATGCAGGTAACAACTTTACTGTAAATGTCAGGTATAACAGGGTGTAAATAGAACACAATAATGCATCCAGGCATCAATGGCAATATGAGCTAACATTTTTTAAATACATTTATTGCAAAAATGCTGTTAGCAAATAGCCTAAGTGCAAAGACTAAGTCAATGATAACATAAAAAGTTACCTTGAGGACATCACATAAATGCCAATGAAAGAACAGAGCGTAAGACATCACTTCGGGTCTCCAGAAGACAAAGCCCGGCGAAATGAACTTGTTTCAAGTCATTAAAAGAGGATGAGATGCAGGCAATGTCACATCTCAATATTCCGACTATGTTCCATTGCGCAGGCTCGTTTTGGAGAAGTGAGATTTAGCGAACAGGAGACGGATTTAGAGAGAAAATCCCTCACATTTATCTACATTACACAGACATTTTCAACAGGAAACAGCTGGGGCAGCATTTGCCTCCTACTCTTCCACAGTTATTCATTAAGGTTTTTGGGCACATTTTCAAAGAACGTCATTTATCGTTTTCTTAGAGACTGAATAGCTGTACTGATGCTGGTGACTGTCGTGCGTAATTTTTGACTACGTAATAGACAGTTGCTCGATTTTAAAGCAGACTTTCACTTAGTCATCATTTTGTCACTGTATTCTTGACCCTAATAAAACATGTTGTATTCGTCTATCAGTGAAATGTAGTCTACAAAATAAACATATTTAATTTAGTGTATAAAGTCAACACGGTGGTCTAGAGCATGCCTTGTGAATCATCTCAGACTTACTTCAAATATGAACATGCAATATATGAAAATAGTGTTGAAATCTAAACTACTTGTCAATATAAATACACATTTTGGCAAGTGTAAGCAAGTTATGGACATTAGGTCTGATTAAAATCTGATATTAAAAGAATGCCATAAAATGTGAAACTAATATCTGAGGGATGTCTGCTGCAATACATGAAGATGTTACACTTGAGGGCCAAAATCCAGAGGCATGATTATGTCTCCAATGATGATCATTTTGTCTTCTTATATATGTAAAGAATATATATTCTTATATATATATATAAGAAGTTATGATTATGTCTCTATGGCATGACATGAAATCCCTTTATCACTTTGTGAATGCTACAGAGAAGACAACACAGTTCTGCTATCTTAAATTACAATCATGTAAAAAAAAAAGAAAAAAGAAAGAAATATGTTTGGCTTTGCAAGATTTGGATAGCAAGTTTGATCAGAAGACTATAATAAGTGCAAAGTTTTATTACCACTTTAGCCATTATGAAATTACCTTAATCTGAGTTATCTGTCAGTTGACTGAGCAGCATCTTGCCCCTGTCCTAGTGTAGCCTATTCACTGTCATTAGGTACTGATACTACTGTATGTGGAATGCGATAAAAAAGATCCTGCTGATTAGAGGGAAAAGTGATTTTCTAATGAAAGGTTGACCTTGTGCAGTCAAATCCAGATGCGACAGCACATTTTATTAACACTTTTAGTCTACAGAAATATATTGAAGTGCAAGTGCTTAGTTAAGGACTTTCCGGTGATTATTGCTGTTGTACAATAGTTGTGATGCCAGGAGACGGCTTGTGCAGTAGCCTGCATCTGCTGATGCAGTGTTAGGAAGAGGGTTGACCTTTTCCTCCCAGGCTCTGATCTAGTGTGTTTTGAGCTTTCTTGGTGCCAGGTTTCTCTCTCCCTCATTCAAACTGTTTTATACCGTCACTGTCTCCTCCCCTTTGCAGTCTTGCAGTTAAACATCCCCTCCAGTGAACTCATTGACCAGAGAAAGACTTGCTCCTACTCCTTCCAATTTTACTTATTGTTTTGTTACTTGTTTGGTTTTATCATTATAAATGATGATTATTATTATGATTATTATTATCATTATATAACTTATCTTATCTCATGTAAACAAAAAAAGCACAAAGCTGTAAAAACAAAAAGCTGCATTTATATAACAATAAGTAACTTTGTAATACATGTTTTCAATAACATTTTGAATAGTAAAATAAATGTCTGTAGAGGCATAAACAATAATAATGTAGAGGCTCACTCACTTTATATTGTGCATTGTGCACACTACTTATTTAGTTTATAATAATCGACTGACTGAAGTAAGGCAGCCAATCTGTACCACTGGACCTTCTGACTCACCGCTCACTCACACACCACACCATAGGCCAAAGAAAACAATAGTCTGAGCGGGATTCGAACCACCAACCTTTGGGTTGGACGACAAACACTAAGGACTGAGGAAGATTGCTTAAACCTTTACCTTGTTACTAGGAGATTATTACAATCCAAGATGAAAGGCTATGGGAGGAGCCTGGTCACAAGTTCATTTGAGGACAGAAAAAGAACAAAAATATACATTTGTGTATAACATCCAGGCTCAGTTTCAGATTAGTAGCTCTCTGATGAAGCTGTTCTTTATACAATACATAATTAATGCATACATCTAAAGTTCAGCGGGTTGCTGGAATAATTTTGAGGTTCATACCACGTAGGTGGTATTCATCATTGAACTGAACTGTGGCTGCCCATACACATTTTGAGAAACTAACAAAAATTTACCCTATATGCGTCACTGAAGAAAGACAATTGGTAAAATTGTCATGCTTAACATGCTTAAGTTATAATTATACACTTTCCCAAGCACTTGAACTGTAGAAAAACCATAGCTTGTGTAGAACATGGTCCATGTGACTCGAGGTACTCCACTTCCCCCTGTGCTTAAAAAAAAATGTTTTAAAATGCAGTTATGGGGAAAAATGCATCCTGCCAAATACGTGAGGATGACAAACAAGAAATGACAAAACTTGGGTGTGTTAGTTGGATTGATTACTTAACCTTAAAACGGTAGTTGGGTGTTTGGCCCAAGAAAAGCACACTCTTTGCCCACCACCTGGCACCACAAAGACTATATCTAGGAAAATGCACTTTTCCAGCCCTCAATTACAGAGAGAAAAACCCAGGGCATATTGAAGCAATTACACACTCAAATAAATCAATATGCTTTGGATTAAAAGTGCTCCTAGCCCAATACACTAACAAGAAGTTGAGAGCAGGTTTTACTACTGCTCCATCTGCCCCATCATGTTAGACAGGTTTTAACCTTGGATTTTAATTTTAATTAAAATATGGACACTGGTAGCCTCTACATGAATGTGAGCAGATGACCAGTATTTGAAGTGACGGCCTAAACCAGTGCATATCTTTGTAGACAGAAGTTACTGGAGATAAATATCTACTTGAGACACAAGCGCCTGTATTTTGGGATTTTTTTTTCCAAGTAGGGTGTTACTTTAATTGTACCGCCATCTACTGGTCAAACACACGCACTGCAAAATCCTAGGAGAGAAAATACAGAAAATATAGGGTACATTAGGTACATACACACACACACACATATATACATAAATATATGTATATATATACACACATACATATATAAATATATATATACATATACACATACATATATATAAATACATATATACATACACACACACATATATATAAATACATACGCACACACACATATATATATAAAGCACACATATACACACGCAAATAAATGGACATGTAAATTACATATATATTTCCTTTTAATTCTTTGCCATTGGAAGAACATAAGTAGCAGTGCCCCCAATATCATATTCAAAATAAAAAATACAACAGCAGCAGTGAACAGAAAACAACAGCTACATCCCCCACGAAGCTATAAAAAAAGAACATGAACAAAAATCTCTCATTCAAAATCTATGCTTACTTCCTCAGTAAATGTTTCTAGTTTGACATTGTGAGTCAGAGAATGCTCCCAAAGGGCATTCTTTTGGAGGAATGTTGTTCCACAATCCTCGCACAGAAAGCCCTTTCCTTTTCCAGCGTGTGTTCTTCTGTGTTTCTTCATGTGATAGGAGAGCCTAAAGCCCTTTTCACAAATGTCACATTTAAATGGCTTTTCGCCTGTGTGAATTCGCATGTGTGACTTCAGATACCCAGACTGTATAAATGCCTTCCCACACACCTCGCACTTGTACGGCCGCTCCCCTGTGTGGTACCGGGTGTGGAGCCGCAGCTCGTTGGCCGTGAGGAAAGTTTTGCCACACACTGTGCACTGGTGCGGCCGCTCTCCGCTGTGGATCAGCTCATGCCTCTTCAAAGAGGTCTCCTTCATGAACTGTTTTCCACAGTCTTTGCAGGGGTACCTCAAACCAATGTGCACTTGCTCTACATGGTTGGTGAGCTGCTGCTTTGTGCGGTAGGCCATGTCACACTGTGTGCAGGTCCAAGGCCTCTCCTCAGAGTGTGTGCCCATGTGAACCGTGAGTTCTGAGGCGGAGCGGTAACACTTCCCACACTGCCAGCACAAGAAGGGCTTCTCCCCAGTATGCTTCCTCTGATGCACTGTCAAACAATTGGAGGACCTGAACTTCTCAGGGCATAAATCACATGCATATGGAAATTCTCCTTGGTGGATCCTCCCATGAACAGCTAGGTAAGTTAGCTGCATGAAGCTTTTATCACACTGGCCACAGGGATATGGCCCTGTAAAGTTGTGCTGCTTCTCGTAGTGCTCCCGTAAACGTCTGAGCAAAGTAAATGACTTGTCACACATAGTGCACTGCATTGGTCTGTGCATCAACTTGTGCCTCTCAAAGGCAGCCTCATTGGCCATTATTTTGCCACACTCTTTGCAGTAAAGTGGGTCATGTATTCTTTGATGGACTTTGAGCAGTGTCATACTTTTGAACTCTTTGTCACACTTCTCACATTTCAGAATTTCTCTCATATCCAGTTTGCACACTTTTTCCTGATGTTCCTTTAAAGCAGAAAGACATTCAAAGTGTTTGCCACAGTTTGAGCACCACACAGGTATCTTATTTGATGTGCCCTGTTGAGAATCAGAACTTGTACTGTCACTGACCCCTACTCTAGATTCCTTTTTCCACAAGAATCTAGTCATTTTCTTGTGACAAACAGCATAAACTTGGTGTCGTTTTAGCCCATGCATATGTTTAAATCGCTTCTTGCAGTGTACACAATGATACGGGCGGTCATCTGTGTGGCACTGCAGATGCCTGTTAAAAGTCTTAATACTATCAAATGTCCGTAAACACACAGGACAAACTTTACTTTGTTTTAGTCTTGTTCTTATTTGAGGAGAATGCAGTTCTTGAGGAGCTGTAGCCACATCAAGAATGTTTTCTTTTTGATCACCAGTTTCAGTGCAACTCGGTGAATCTGCTTCAGCCAAAATCTGTTCGACTGACTTGCTTTCTTCTTCCCGAATACCTTCATGTCCATGAATAATCTGATGTTTCTTTAATGTATCCCTGTACTTAAAGCCCTTTTCACAAGTAACACAAATAAATGGCCGTTCTTCAGTATGTGATCTTAAATGCTTAGCCATGTCTGCAGTGCACGGTAGGACCCTGCTGCAGATAGGACATGTTTTGCCTTCGGCTGACCCCTCTGGAGTTAACAGCTGATTTGGCTTTTCCTTCTTTTTCACTGTAATAGGCTTTTGCATGTCTCTGTTTTTGCATATTTTGCTCTGATGCCTCTTTAAGATATATGGATTTTTAAATTTCTTTTTACAAAACAAACAGCTATATGGCCGGTCATCTGAATGAGATGTCATATGTCGTTCCATGTCTACATAACGGGCAAAATATTTGCCACACAAAGCACAATGCTTGTTCTCAGATGTGTTAGGATCTACAGAATCCTCTGCAGTTGGTGGGCTACCCACATCTTCCTTTTCATGGACACGCATGTTGTGTCGTGTCATGTCATATTGGTCCCTAAATCTTTTGTCACAATTGTTACATTTGTACTTGAGTTCTCTGTTTTCTGAATGGGTTTCTAGGTGTCGTCTCATGGCTGCTGCACGCAAGAAAGACTTTTCACAGATGGGGCAGGTTTTGTTACAGGGGAATTTCTTTCTTTGTCTCCTAGAAGTTTGTGAAGATTCATTTTTTACTTCCACATGTTTGGTTTGTTTTAGAGGTTGAAATGGAGCTGGCTTTAAGGTGTCATCATCCTCCACATCTGACTTGGCTATCACAGTAGTTCCTTGATCATTTACAGATTCCTCCTGATCTTCAGGCTCAATCAGTGGCTGTTCAATTTGTATGTAGTCCAAAAGTGTTACAGTTTGTCCTTCCACTTGAACTGTCACACAACCTTGCATTTGCTCAGGTGAAGATTGCAACTGTATTTGATCAGCATCTATTACCACTTTTTCCACTTGAGGAAGAGAGAGGGAGGAGAGAATGCAGTTTCCAAATGATGAAGTAATGGTCTGAGTCTCATCTGCAAACAAAATGACAGTGATGTTATTTTTTTATATATATATATATATTTTTTTTATTTTTATATATATTTTTTTAAACCCAGATGCTTGCAGGTCGCTAGTACACGTAGTTTATCCAGACTACCCTCTATAGCCATGTTAATGTAACTTGCAAGCATCTGGGTGTAAAAAAAAAAAAAAAAAAAAGTGTCATGATGTGGCGAAGAACTTATACTAAGTAAATAAGTAAGTAAAGACATATGTCACAAAGACGCTTTACAGAGCATTATTGATTCACTCTATATCTGGTGATGATAAGCTACTATTATAGCCACAGCTACCCTGAAGCAGACTGACAGAAGCGCAGCTGCCAATCTGCCCCATCTGTCCCTCCGACCACCACCAACACTCAAGCACACACCACTTTCATACTAGGCAATGTGGGTGAAGTGCCTTGCCTAAGGACACAATGACAGTTTTTGCGACTGGTGCCCCACTGTGGCAGCTGATTTTCCCAGTGGTCTCCCATCAAAGTACTATCCAGGCCCAGCCTTGCTTAGCTTCTGAGACCTGACGAGATCAGGTTTTGACAAGCCGGAATGGGCATGATAGCCAGTATGGCCATGACTTATCATAATGAGTTCTTTGTCAAAGCCTACAATGACACTTCTGTTACCATATTGCCCAACACCAATTCTTTTTTCATTTTATAAAACACATAAAAATGCAGCAAATGGTGTTAAGTATTATATTTCATGCATAAAGCTCACCGGTTAAATCCAAGTGTCCAAGTGCAGCATGGTACTGAAGAACATTTTTAAATGCTCGGGGTCAGGGACTGAGTGGAGACACTCCTCCAAGGCAGATGGGACCGCACAAAGAATAGATGTTGTCTGTAAAAACAAAAGTAACAAGGTTATAATGTATGTTAAAACATGTTTGAAAATGACAGAATTCGGTTAAAAACAGTTAAATCTAGGTTGCTATCTTTAAGTAAAATTTTCTTATATCAATATATAATATCTATCTATAAATCTATCTATCTATATCTATATCTATAAAAATGCATTGAATAAAAGGTAAAAGGCAGTTGTGTTGAGTGTAAAATGTTCCACCTGCTGGATGTCTGGTATTGGAAAGAGCTTCTCTAATCTAGTTAAAAAGTCCAACATTAAGACTTGTAGTGCACTATCAAAGTCTGGTCCAAATTCAAGAGGGAAAACATCCTGCAGAAAAACATATTTTTCAGAGATTAATAATTACAATACGAGAACACAAGGTTGATTGACCATTTGTAATACATACTTTGAAAAATTTCTCTTTTTCAGAAGGATGTTTCAACAGCAGCTGTACTTGATCAATAAAAGTGGATTCTGGGAACACAAGTTCTGCAAAACATGGCTTAAAAAAGAATATTCAATATTAAAAATAGAAATTATCAAGGCATGGAATTATGAAAAATCTTAAAAATATGTTTATTACAAACCTGTGCCGCCCAAGCAGATACAAGTTTTTTTATCTGCTCTAGGTGCATTTCAATATATTCAGCGTTTGTAATGTGGTCACCTCTGCACATTTCAAGAACAACCTATAAAGAAAATGTTTCATTTAGGCATTATTCCTAAAAGCAAGCTCTATGACATTAGCCATACCCTGGCACGGAGAGCAAGCAGTAGCTGAGTCCTCTGATCTGTGCTCAACAACTCAGGGACTATCTCTGTGACACTGTTTATGAAGTCTTCCACCATGCCATAACCATGTACGTTCCCCTCTTGGACAACATGCCACATAGCTGAAGACATCAAGCGCAATGGAGGTATGAAAAGCCGAAGTGAAGGTAGCGAAAGGGAGACCTCTGAAAATGAATTATAACATAAACATTAATAAAAGAAATAAATCATGAATAAAATGCTATATTGTATCAAAATGCCGAAAGAACGGTCAGTTTCAGTCCATATATACAGTCTTAACCACGTTTGATAAAATGCTGCTTTTGGCTTGGATGTACGAGACAGTTGTCAGATGAAAAGTGATAAGTTAGGTGCGACTCGTCGTATTTCTGTAATTGCTTGTTGCTCAGTTGCTCTCCAAAACAAAACAGTTTTATACCTCAAAATATTCTCACTTGCGTGTACTTAGAGGTTTTCTGGAGACAGTGACTGTTAGCTCAAGTTTGCAAGGCAACATTTCATCCTTCATTAAACATACCACATAGTCTAGCAAGCAAGAGCAACCAGCTAACTGTATTTATAGTGAAACAACATACTTAATAAACTTAACACACCACCGGAAGCACACATATCATAAGAGCAAACTGTTAGCGTCACGGTGAAATACCGCCATCTCCACGAGCGGGGTACGCCATGTTTAAAATCGGACGCACACAATCCTAAAGGGAGATCTATTTCTCGTAATCAAGAATCCAAATGTCCAGTTTCTATGACTTACCATTTTTAATACGGTGTATATTCTCCATTTTATATTTAAGAATAGTTAAGGTAAATTCTAAAAGTAATCAGGGCTGTGCTGAGTTTACGTCTGCACGACCCTGCGGTGCTACTTCAGCGGGAGGAAGGGCGGCTTTTACTTTTCCTAGTGCGCAGGCGCGCGCTTTGTGCCTAACTCGGTCTAAATTTAGCCAAACATTGCCCTCTAGAGGCCCTTGAGCTTATGTAAATGTAGTTGACTCAAATGAGCTTTACCTCCTCAAAAACATACGGAGAGTTTTGTTTCATTCACACGTTTGAGTAAGCCGTATTCAGTAGTCAGTGTACATCTCCATAGCTCAGAATGCTCTGTTCCACCTTGAGATGTCATGAAGCAATGGTTTTCAAGTTATTATTGTGTGTGTGTTAATTTTGAAAATTATTCTAGTGTAGCTGTATGGAGTTTTAAAAACACATTGGAGCATTTCCTGCATTATTACATGACTTCAGGAGGTGGAGTGTTTTATGTTTTAGAGATGAACTCAGCCTAAATATGCAGGGTTTGTGTTAAACTTGTATGAATTAAACAAATCTCAATTCCAGGTTTGTTTTTGATGTGGGAACAACATAATAAAGATTAGAAATTAGCATAATATGGGCTCTTTAGTTGGTTGTAGACATGATTGACTTTAATTTTAGCATATGTTTCTGTAGGCTGTGTGTAATAAAAATTTAATTAAAAATTAAATGTTAAACAGTATGGCATTAAATGTATCTATGGAAACAGGTTGTGCAAAAAGGTCAAGTTGCAAGTATGATCTGTGGGAATTGTAAGAACACCTATAGGCTAGTTTAATGTTATAATGTGGGACATTCTAGATAAAGCAATACCATTTCAACAGGAACAAGCACTTGATACTTTCCACCAAAAAGTTTCATAGTGCATCTTTAATTGTTTTATTATTGTTGTTTTTTAAACTTTAACACTATAAATTAATCTATTTATAATAAAATCCCGTATTCCTACATTAATTTGCTATAATAATATTCACAAAGACACTGATAAAACATGTAGCACAAGGCAATGTATTGGTTTTAAGTGTGGTCATTTATTAGCTGTTCACAAACAATGTCATGAAATGACCTGTAAGAATGTGAAAATACCATTGTAGATAATTCTGCACATTTATCCATGCATCTGCTGCTTCTAGGAGACATTTTGTTTCCTACCACTATGAACAAATATGCAGGCAAATAAAGGCTCAGACAAATCAAAAGGGTAATTCTTGTATGACAGAGCTGGTGTACAGAGGCTAGAGCACATTCTCAACAACATGAAACAAGAATAGCCATGCGAACCAACATTTACATCGCTTTGACCCACTGTAGCATCAAAGCATTTGCTAAACCAATGCTCACTTTTATTATGGACCTTGGCTACACTAACTCTAGCACACAAAGTGCTTGACATCATTGTGAATTTGTTAACTCCTAAAAGTTGCATTGCACAGGCATTTCAGTTAAAACATTTGCACAGGACAAACTCCATATTCATATTGTTTACTCCATAGCCATCAAAGCGAGAAGTACATAAAATACTGGAATGTCATACAATGTGAACAATAGGCTATAATAATAATAATAATAATAATAATAATAATAATAATAATAATAATAATGCATCTTCAGTGACTTAGTCTTTAGTTCACATTTGTAATACCTGCTGTGTGTATTCAACAGAATTATAAATCGTCAATATTGCTTAATTCAAAACATATTTATAGGTTCACACTTGAATAAACTAAATATTTAAATGTAACATAAAATATAGATATTATAACACTATGTATGTTGTATGAAAATAAAAAATAAGTCTTTTTTTTTTTTTAACTATATACATGACTTAAATGATCTCTTCAAGATTATACCTATAATTTTATTTACCCAAGATAAATATAGAATTTGGAGTGTGCTACAGTATTGGTTCATATATCATGTCTTTACTATATACCGCACTGTAACATCCCAAGGACAATGACAACAAGAATGACAACACTTAAGAAACATTTGCATCATTTGCAAGCTATATCAGCAGGAAAGCGTCTTTTTTGGTATGTTGCCTGTCTGAATACACTGCTTATTTTGTCAAGACTGACCAAACTAACTCTGATTGCTGGGGATTATGTCTATTTTTTATTAGATATTGTATTTAAAGTGCAAGTTCTATAGTTTTGTGATTTTGCAGTGTTGACAGTGTTTATATACTATGATCCCCTTATAATTTGGTCCTATAGAGCACTAAGCGAGGTAATGGTAGAGGTATGAAGAGTGGCTTAAGTGCACTGACATTTGGAATGCTTTGCAACAAATGAAGACAAAAGGTTGAGTGGATATTGTGGGATTTCCTTATGATCAGGAATCCACCCAGTCCACCATTTACACACAAAAAAACACACATACAGAAAAAAATGAGAGTTTCGTATATGAAGAGGTCAAACATGCAAATTTTCCAAAACAGACACACATACAACAAAATACAAAGTGTCCTGGGAGCACATTCAATGAGTCTCGTGTCTTCAGCAAAGCTTTGGAGAATGCTTTACACAACTTTGCCATAATTAGTCCCTGTCCTTACATGCCTCCAAGTTGATCTGAATTCCAGTGGACAAAAAGGTTCTGATGAAGTTCTGCATAAAAAGCATGATCAGGGCAGCTTGTTTAGAAGGTGTCATGCAAAAGTCAGTTTTTACACAGTTGTTAATGTAGCATATTGTTCTCATCAAATGGAGCCTCAAAACTACTGCAGTGATTGGCCCCAGCAGAAGTTCTTTGAATCTCTACACACAGTAGGTAGCAGTGAGACATATCCACTGCAAATGTGAAAAAACAACAACAAAAACTTGCAGATTAAACTACGGATTGTCTGCTGGCATTGCTACTACTCAAGCAGAACCAAAAAAAAAAAAAAAAAAAAAAAAAAAAAAAAAAATGGCATCTGGTTGAAAAACAAAATCAAGTATTTTATTAGAAGCTGCTTGGTAGAAATTCTAACAATATGTTTGTCATGCATTTCTTTTGTCTGAAATACAGTACAAAGTTGTTCTCAGTTGTTCGTAAAATCTCACTTCCTAGAACAAGAGTGACGTGGTAACCAACAGGCAAAAGAGGGCAAACCTCTAATAAGGCAAGAGCATCCTCCCACTGATTGTGTAATGTATGTCACTGAACCATGAACATCCATCAGGACCAGAATTAAAGGGTAAATCCCTGACAGCTTGTGACTGCTCCTCTCCAAGCCCAACCACATCAGGTGGACAGGCTAAAGCGAGACAATGCACGAAACATGAAATCTGTGACCAGGAGGGGGCAGTGTCAGACCACAGAGCCCTTTGAAGTGGACAGGTGGATGGAGTGGATGCGAGTGGCAAGAGTTTTCTCCAAATCGTGAAGGATGTCAGTGCAGACGCCAGGGCAGGGACTGGGACTCTCAGGGGGACAGGGTTCAAACAACAGCTGCTTGAAGTTCTCCAATTCGATCAACAGCACCATGTTTTTTAGGAAATAGCCCTCGATGAAAGCCGTCAGCTCCAGTGCACCAAGAAACTGAGGAGACAGTTTTTAAATGAAACAAATCAACCTTCGTGATCTTTGCAATACTGTAACGGTGTTCATTCATAATTAGCTGACTCAGACTTGTATTTTGGTTGGTTCATGCATTTTTGAGTAATCAAAGTTTGAATGCTCATTCAATTCCCATTTTCCCCTACCCCCTATACCCTATCCCCACCTACATCCTGCAACATATTTGCAATTAAAAATAAGACTCAGAGAAAAACATGTGGGGTTCTCAAATCACACTTGCATGCATTTTATAACAACAGAAACCTGTAGTGTCTCAACTCGTGATTGACCTTTGTTATAGTTCAACACTCCGTAGCTAAAATGCATAATATCTTTTATTTAAGAAAGAAAGAAATATTTTTTCTTCTCTAATTAGCAGTCTGTTTTTCCAGTGTGAGTCACAGCTAACCTTGGCATGCTTATAGAGGTCCACGCATGTTTCGGTCGTGATATTCTTGGAGCAGATGATCTCACAGTGTCTCTGAAGGGCCTCTAGTTGGAAGAATTTTGCTGCTGACAGGAGCTGGAAGGAACAGTACAGCCATAGAGTGTGATCATGGGATTACAACCACTAATGCTTGCTGTGCTGTTCCTCTGCAATCTGTGTTTCAAGATAATTTACCTCCATAACTTCAGTGTTTCTGATGTGCAAAGTCTCTGTGCCGCCGCAGTACAGGTACTGCATGATGAGCTAAAAGACAGAAGTAAACAAGTGAGTGTGGCTCAATATCAAATTAAAAAACTACTAAATGAACAAAAAACTTGTCTGTTCTTACATGAAATATGGAGTATTTAACATGGCTGATCTCTATACAGGTATTCTCTGCTGCTGGTCGATTTTGGAGCAAAGACTTGAACCTATGTAAGATCAAATCAATAACATAAACCTCTGGGGTATAGACCAGAACTTATAATTACCCAAACAAAGAAGTGGCATGTTCTGGGTCAACATCCTTACCTAGGTGAAGCTGTAAATAGCAAAACCTTATGTGCATAAAATGGTTTTCCTTCCACCAGAAAAGTAACATCTGACATTTCTTTGTTATTGAGGAAGTGGGGGTCTGAAAGAAAAGAAGTAATATGTGGAGTCATTATTGAATACTTATTTAAAGCAGACATTTACCTCCTTTGTTTCATGTGGAATTCAAGTTCTCAACAGATTTTTGTTGAATGTGATGATTAATTGACTATCAGTGAATACTACTTCAATTTGTTTTTGTATTGAACACAAGATGGTGCAACTTCATAAGGTACAGTCGGCCTACATGTTTATTATTTATTTTAAAACAACCTCTTTGACCTAAACATAATTTAATTTTGATTAATCCATCCATCCATCCATTTTCGTCCGCTTATCCGGGGCCGGGTCGCGGGGGGAGCAGCCTAAGCAGGGACTCCCAGACTTCCTTCACCCCAGACACGTCCTCCAGCTCCTCCAGGGGGACCCCGAGGCGTTCCCAGGCCAGCCGAGAGACATAGTCCCTCCAGCGTGTCCTGGGTCTTCCCCGGGGCCTCCTCCCGGCGGGACATGCCCGGAACACCTCCCGAGGGAGGCGCCCAGGAGGCATCCGGAACAGATGCCCGAGCCACCTCAACTGGCTCCTCTCGACGTGGAGGAGCAGCGGCTCTACTCCGAGCTCCTCCCGTGTGACTGAGCTCCTCACCCTATCTCTAAGGGAGCGCCCAGCCACCCTGCGGAGGAAACTCATTTCGAGCGCTTGTATCCGCGATCTCGTCCTTTCGGTCACTACCCAGAGCTCATGACCATAGGTGAGAGTAGGAACGAAGACTGACCGGTAAATCGAGAGCTTCGCCTTTCGACTCAGCTCCCTCTTCACCACAACAGTTCGATACAGCGACCGCATCACTGCCGAAGCTGCACCGATCCGCCTGTCAATCTCACGTTCCGTCCTTCCCTCACTCGTGAACAAGACCCCGAGATACTTGAACTCCTCCACTTGAGGCAAAGACTCCCCACCCACCCGGAGAGGGCAAGCCACCTTTTTCCGGTCGAGAACCATGGCCTCGGACTTGGAAGAGCTGATCCTCATCCCAGCCGCTTCACACTCGGCTGCAAACCGCCCCAGTGCACATTGCAGGTCCTGGTTCGATGAAGCCAACAGGACAACATCATCCGCAAACAGCAGAGATGAAATCCTGTGGTCCCCAAAACCGGACCCCCTCCGGCCCCTGACTGCGCCTAGAAATTCTGTCCATAAATACAATGAACAGAACCGGTGACAAAGGGCAGCCCTGGCGGAGTCCAACATGCACCGGGAACAGGTCTGACTTACTGCCGGCAATGCGAACACAGCTCCTGCTCCGGTCATACAGGGACCGAACAGCCCTTAGCAAAGGGCCCCGGACCCCATACTCCCAGAGCACCCCCCACAGGACACCACGAGGGACACGGTCGAATGCCTTCTCCAAGTCCACAAAGCACATGTGGACTGGTTGGGCAAACTCCCATGAACCCTCGAGCACCCTATGGAGAGTGTAGAGCTGGTCCAGTGTTCCACGGCCAGGACGAAAACCACACTGCTCCTCCTGAATCCGAGGTTCGACTATCGGCCGGATTCTCCTCTCCAGTACCCTGGCATAGACCTTACCGGGAAGGCTGAGAAGTGTGATCCCCCTATAGTTGGAACACACCCTCCGGTCCCCCTTCTTATACAGAGGGACCACCACCCCGGTTTGCCAGTCCAGAGGTACTGTCCCCGACCGCCACGCGATGTTGAAGAGGCGTGTCAGCCAAGACAGCCCCACAACATCCAGAGACTTCAGGTACTCAGGACGGATCTCATCCAACCCCGGAGCCTTGCCACCAAGGAGCTTGCCAACCACCTCAGTGACTTCGGCCAGGGTGATGAATGAGTCCGCCTCCGAGTCCCCAGCCTCGGCCTCCTCCTCGGAGGACGTGACGGTGGGATTGAGGAGATCCTCAAAGTATTCCTTCCACCGCCGGACAACGTCCCCAGTCGAGGTCAGCAGCTCTCCCCCCGCACTGTAAACAGTGTTGGTGAAGAACTGCTTCCCCCTCCTGAGGCGCCGGACGGTTTGCCAGAATCTCTTTGAGGCCGTCCGATAGTCCTTCTCCATGGCCTCCCCGAACTCCTCCCAGCTCCGAGTTTTTGCCTCCGCGACCACACGGGCTGCAGCACGCTTGGCCCGCCGGTACCTGTCAGCTGCCTCAGGAGTCCCCCGAGCCAGCAAGGCCCGATAGGACTCCTTCTTCAGCTTGACAGCATCCCTTACTTCCGGTGTCCACCACCGGGTTCTGGGGTTGCCGCCGCGACAGGCACCACAGACCTTACGCCCACAGCTCCGAGCAGCTGCATTGACAATTTTGATTAATGTGATTAGTTATCTACATTACATAAGGTGGTGGATGTTACATCTAAACTCAAAATATTCCTTTTGATAAACTAGATTCTAATAAAATTTAAAAGTAGATGTTTTTGATAGTTGTAAATTAACTGAATTGTATAAAGCAAATCATCCAGTCTGTTTCGTACATAAACAAAACAAATCACAGCTCCATAGGCCAAAGCACTGCAGAGGCTGATTGATAAGGGATTTCAGAGTTTCTGTATAAAAAGAGCCATGACAGCTGTCTTGCCTTATTAAAACTCACCCTTCTTCCATTTCATTAACATCCACAAAACGATTCAAAGATGATAATGAGGAGGAGCCACTGTTTGTGATCTTCTTACCTAACCGTGACGTCTGTTTCTTTTTGATCTCCGTCAGCTTTGGGATAGGAAACGGTCCATAGCACTGGGTGAAAATGACAGACAGCTGCTGACTTATCACTTCATTCTGCAAAAAGCCAAATGTACATTCAGCGGAGGGAATGCCCTTTATATGTGCTCTCTGGTGCAACTTTTATGCAAATGGGGGATATTAAGGGTTGGAGAACACGCAAAACAATACAAGCAAATGTGAGTGTTAATAATGATATCACAGCATCATTAGCACTGGCAAGAGTAGAAAATGTGTTGTTTGCCTAATGAATTGTTTCTGTTCATGCAGAGTACAGATGACAATGTTTGACCTTGCTGGTCCTTAGAATTTGGAACATGAGGGGTAGCCCATGGGTGATGATCTCCTCTGTGTACTCGTCCTCCTTAATACAGCTAAAGTCTTTGAGCAGACCCTGGATCAGTGGCCGTCGATGCTGCATAAAACAGGTGCGTAGAGTTTCGAGCCAGGTGTGGAGTGTCCAGGGAACTCCTAAAAAAATCAACACATTTACTATAAATACCACAAGAACAGATAATGATAATACATCTTATTATTGAAACATGTTAAGAGCATCAGAACCGACCATGTTTCTGCAACATCTTTTAAAAATGGTTAGAAGTTTTAAAAGACAGTTGCTTAATGGAAAAGTGTTAAATTGTCAGTAATAAACAACAATGCCATCCAGTAATAAAATTAAGGTAACATGACAGTGGTTGTGTATGTGTAATGGGTGTGTGTATATATATATATATATATATATATATATATATATATATATATATATATATAATTGACACTGATAATTGTGTTTTGTATTTACTGGTCAACAGCAATAGTTCTGACTTGATACACAACAACACAGGACTGAACAGGACAGGACGGGCACAGCTTGAGTACATCTCCAGAATAGCTGGAGACATCAGACAGCAACATGCGCGCCACTGAACCATGAGTTAGAGGGTCTGACCTAAACTGCGGATGTCTATGGTGATATCCACATGGCCGTGCTCTGCGCTATGGTACATGGCCTCTCTCAGAGCTCTCAGTTTGGCCTTTCCTGTTCGCAGAGTTCCTCCTCCGTTAGTATGCGGGGCTAGTCTCTTCTCACCAGGCTCCGATCCCTCAGCCAGGATCTCCTCCAGGGACATTACATCCCCTTTGTCCTTCTCCGACTGGGAGAGCAGCCTTCGAAAGACATTCCTAAGAAAACAAGTTATTCACTTTTTTCTATGCAAACTGTACAAGACAGAGATCATAGTAGCAATAAATGGAAATTACTAGTTTTATCTTTGTATCCTCATTGGACATAAATCTTTTGCCTACGTTATCATTCACCAACTTCATAACAGAACAGATAGATAGAACAGAAGATAAACTAAAGTTACTACACATAAAATGAATATCACTATACTCTATTGAGTATGACTTTATCTTATAAATATTTATTACAGTTAAAAGTTTGGCGGTCAAATATAGAGATAAGGAAACTAGGGATGCACAGACAAAACTGGCTACACCTAAACACCAAAATCCATATTCATGTGTGGATTACATCTTAGATTAACATTTTTTCTCAATTTCTCAAATATAAATCTCTTCTATACTCTGCATAATTATATTGTCAAGTGCTAATGGGCATTATTTCACAAGGTGTCAAAGCTGCTACATTGCCACTCATATTGTCAGCTCCTGTCCAAAATTACAATCTCCTGATAAATCCCAGTCCCATGAGAGAAGCAGCTGCAGTAAAGCAGATGAGTGTAAATGGATCAATACTGAGGTAATAGATGTATCAGAGCAGCCTGATCTGTTCTGTGACAGCGGCTCAAATGTAAGGCATACCTGTGTCCATGAGCTGCAGCAAGACTGAATGAAGTCATGTCACCCAGGGGAGAGGAGGAGATACCATTTCTGCACAAGGTTCCCACCATGGGGTCTGCTCCTCTGTCCAGGAGCAAACTGACCAATTCAAAGTTACCTAAAGAACAATCAGATGTAACCAGTCTGTGATAACATGTACACCACATGAAAATTAAATAAACAATTTGTTATATTTCTGTACTACCATAGCAACATGGATGCACTTGACATCATCCGCTGTAAAAGGATTAACTACCACCACTCTTGATCCAACATAAATGTATTTCTTACTGATTGTAGCATGTGAGGCACATAAAATGTTGTTGCAGTGATTACAACCATTACCTGCAGCCGCTGCCAGCTGGAGGGGGGTCTCTGTGTAGTTCTCCGCCCCATCCTGCAGGGCACCCTCCACATTGGCTCCATTATCAAGCAACAACTGTGTCAGGGAGAGACAGAGCATGACACAACAAACTATGAAGGACACTATAAAAAGACAGATCTTAACAATCCAATTTGGAGCTTTAGACATTTACTGTTACATGTGAGCTCCTTCCTTGTTATTTATTTATGCGTTTAAACACTTTATCTAGCTGTTTGTGAACATAGCTATACAGTTTTAAACAAACATTTAATAGAGTTTACACTGGCCTCTTTCTCTCCAAAAAGTACTCAAGGGGCAAAGAGGAATTGGGGCTGTATTGTTACTGTGCACCATCATAATAAAGATTATGTAGCTTTTTATGGTGAGGATCGGCAAAAGTGAGGCCATAGGCCACATGTTATGAGGTCAGTCAGTGTCTACCTGCACAACAGGGACGTGTCCGTGTAACACGGCGAATGTGAGTGGTGTCCCCTGGCGCGTTTCAGGATAAACTGAGGGGTGCTTGTTTACTGTGCTTGGCACCTGGGAAGTCATAGGTAAGGTTCAGGGAGAGAGATACAGCCATTAACATCAAACAGCTCAGGCCAAAAGATGTGGGGAGGAGTGAGACGTGTAAGCAGGAGAACAGTGAAGTGAAAGGGCAGGATGGCAGAGGCAGATTTTGCTCTGGAGTTTCACAGGAAATCACGATTTGTTTTAAGTCACCCTCATCACAAGCCTGTACCTTGCTTTTTAAAATGTAAGATCTATAATGCACTGCCTGTCTGGACTGGTGGTCTGACCATAACTTAGAAGCTCCGACTCAATCTTAGAGTGAAACCGGAGAGAAAACACAATACTGACAAAGGCACAAACAGTGACACGAGCACTGAGCAGCACTGACTCATGAACAAAGAGCTGAACTTTAACAGGTGGTGTGTACTGTGTAGTAACATGAGTCTAGTGATCCTTGTTTAGTTAAAGCATTTCATATGTTTTTTTCTGATGCAAAATGCATTGCTGACTTTTCCCATTTCAAATAACATAAAAATAAATACTGTATAAGTATTTATTATTATTATTATTTATTTTTTTTACTTATTCCATTGCAAACTTTGTGTATGAGTCAGCATATACCTACGGTATTGGTGAACCCTAAAAAGATGGGGCAGTCTAAGATGGAAAACTGATTACTATCAGTGGTCTATAACCCCAAAATGATCTTCATATTCAACATTTTGAGCACAACCCATTAAACATCAGAATGAAGAACATGCATCATGTTTACCTGCAGCACAAAGTTACAATAAGTGCACTAATTTCAAGCTGTACTTCCAGCTGTAATGCAATATCCATGGTGTATGACACATAAAAAAGTATTCCATACAGATTCAGCAGTGAAGTAAGTGACTGCATTGTGATCAGTGCAAAAACTTTCATGATCCTCTATGCAGACAATATGCCTACAGAGTGCACTTGATGTAATGAGCTGACATCAAAAGCATGCAGAGACAAGGTCACAAATTGAGGGGAAAGGGCAAGGTGGTAATTGTTCACTCCAAACATACAACATTAATAATCAAGAATACAACACTGACCTCACTGTTAATGTCGGCTCCAGCATCAAGAAGCATTTGGACCATGGCCTCGTCTCCACGAACACAGGCGTACATCAGCGGTGTCATTCCCTAACAGTTAATAAACACAAAGAATTATATTAGATAAAACACACACACACAAATCTTCCCAAACTCTTGTGGGGCCTCCATTTTAGAAATACACGATATTTAAAATATTTTACAAAGGTTTACTTTTGTACTTCTCTGTACACCATAAAACATCATCTGCACCATCATTCACACATGAAGGAAGTTGCAAAAAAACATCACATTTCATTCACATTTTTGGACAATGACGAGCGGATTTCTTTTCATGTGTGGATGACCTATCTTGTTACCAATATCTGGTGAAAACTACATAATTGCACCAAAAATACCAATGTCCTCCATTTTGAACATCAGCAGCCTCTGCACAGCACGCCACTTCATTTTTATTATTGCCTTTCACACTTATGTGAATCACCTGCTTTATTACACTGTATTTTAAGCATCTCACCTGTTCACTCATGCTGTTAATGCCATCAGGTCCCAGCAGGTTGACTGCTTGCTTGACCAGATCAGTACGTCCACAATTGAGCATGCGGAAGCCCAGGTCCTGCAAGAACTTGGCCTCAGTGGAAGCCGCATCGAGCTTCCTGGTAGCGCAAAAGCAATCTTCAGCTCTGCAGGTGGCACAGCACACTGTATTTACCATCAAATCGGATCGTTTATCAAGAATATATCAAAGATTACAGGGTGAGAATCTCTTGAGCTTAGTGACACTTAGGGCAAATTGAGTTCATACCTCATGATTATTATTGATGAGCAATTATATCTCAGTCAGTCCTGTCTGAATTGCGTAAATGTCAAATAAATATGCTGTACCAGTCCTTATTTATCTTTGTTTAAACCTAAAGAATCATTGACGATGAATTTTATACAAATTTTACTTTTATACTGCTACCTTTATATTATAGTTATTATTCTACATATTAAAGTATTAGTTGTCTTACTTCACTTGTCGTGGTTCACAGTCCACCCCTGGTAGCAGCAGCCGTGCAGCCTGCCTCACATCGTCACTGTCCACAGAGAAACTTCGGCGATGTTCAGTGTGAGCAACAGCTACTCGAATCCACTCCATTAGCGGAGGCAGGACAATGAATGGTCTGCACGGATAAGCGAGCAACAAATACTTAGTTAGTCACTTACAACTCCCATAGGGTAAACTGTTATGCTATTATATGACGTATTTACAGCTTGGAAGAAACCACCCCTCCAAACCCCACAAATTATGTAGCCAGTCAAGTACACAATAATAGCAAAAGAAACATTTAATCAAATACAAAGCTGAAGATCTTTATGGATCAAAAGAAATGTGCACATTTTAACAAGAATAAATTAATTTTAGATTTGATGTACCAGTGAGGACAAATATTTTTTCACAGATATGCCTTCCAATTTAAATGCTCTAACCCAGTGGCTTTCACACCAAGTACCACCAAAGAAAAGAATAGGCTTTTTGAGTATCACTCAGTGGAAATTAAGTATATACAGAACCTATCCCATGTCTAATTTAGGGCTAAACCAGGTCTAAAAGTGGACTATATTACATCCACTGTAGTTCTAAACAAGTCATTATCCAAAGGAGAACAAAAAAGTAGATAAAATGAACTGGCTGAATGGCCTGGGTTTAGAATTGGTACATTTCCTTTGTCTAAAAGCCAGTTGCATGTTCCTTCAGCTCCCCAGGGACATCAGAAAAAATGAGTTCTATTTGAGTTTGCTGTGAAAGATGTTGAATTATCTGTCCATCCATCTGAGTGAAATCCTTTAGGCTGCTTATAGCCTCAGTAACTGTCAGGCACAGCTCACACAAAACGTTACCATGGAGCAACACGCATCAAATAACTGGGGGGAACTATCTTTTAATACACAAATCAAGCTTGTGCTAACTGCTTTATGTTCTCTTCACTATCTCTAAATTGTCATTAAGAGAGACAGAAATAGAGAATGAGAGAGACCAAAGAAAGTATGAGGGCTTGGAGAGAGAGTATGTGTGTGACAGAGTGACAGAGGAAAAAGAAATATGCTGGTGGTCTAAAGCCAGCATTCTTATCTTTTACTGATGCAAGCAAAGCAATAATATTTCCAGTGAGACGAGCAGGTAGCAAATGTAATACAAAATAAAATTGTCCAAAATGTAAAATATAAAATAAAAGGTTAAACTCACCTTTCAGTATGTAAGGTAACTTTGGATGGCTCCACATTGGGGTTCTCCCACTCCATCTGTGGGCAGTGCATGAAGTAACACAGGGTATAGAGGGCCTCGGGTTCCCAGTGCACCGTCATGGTGCTGCTCTTCTGGTGGACTGGGGTTCCGTTGCTGGAGTTCTTGATGTGTAGAGGCTGGAGGTGGTGCATGGCCCTGGACACCAGATCACCTATGGGACACAAACACGAATGTGACATACTCTTAGGCCGGTCACCACAATTAGTTTCAATTATCAATATTCACGATAAATTTTCATGTTTTAGGGCCATATGTCAGTGCCATACAGTAGTTTCAATTTTATTAATTTTTTTCTGTGGCTTATATATTTTTCTGTGGCTTTTTGTATCTTTTTTATCTTTTTCTAATCTTTTTTTTGTATTGACATCAAAATGTTTTGCTGTGACAGGTTTACACTAGCCAGGCTGGTGCTACCTAGTGTCTCCGCTCAATTTAATTTCTCTCCAGCGACTAGGTCAGGAATCGGAATACACTAGGAGTTTGCAAGAACCCCGGAAGTTGTAGACCATGCACCAGCCAATCAGCAAAGAGCTGTGAAGAAATGACGTCAAACTCAAGTGACGTCAAACTCTAGTGCCTGTCTGGGTCCTTTTTGTGGTACAGCACAACAGTAAACAAAGCGGTCGAGATGGATATAGACAAAGCCATACATTCTGTGTTGGCAACGATTCCTGAGATTGAGGATTTAAAGCTGGAACAAAGTGAATTTTATCAAGGGGAAAGACGTTATAGCCCTTCTTCCTATGGGATTTCCTATGTCACAACCAAACAGCAGCGATTTGTTAAATTAAAAAAGTACCCACCTACAGTCAAGCAAATACATCATAATGCTGCGAGTTCAGATGGTTTCCATAAGTGAAACCGGCTGATGAATAAGGCTAGGTCTACACACTAAGTCAGCTGTTCCTAAAGTGGGGTCTGGGGCCGCCTGGGGGGCCCCCAAAGGTTGTTCACAAAACAAGAATAAAAACTATATTAAGTTTGAACCTTACATAAAATATTACATTAAATGCATTACTTTATATTAGTATTCAGCCTACATGCATAATTCTATATTGTTTAATATGTGAATCTAAGGGAAAAACAAAAAAACAAAAATCTCATGTATTCTATTAACTGTAGTGTAAATTATTATTGGGGGGGCTGCGGCACAGAACACTTGACTGCACAATGTGAACTCATTATCCATTACGTACTATCCTGTAGTTCTAGTTTTGGATTGGATTTCAAATGGCAATAGGGCAATAATGGCATTGGCTCAGTGCATTCACCCATGAATGAAGGTTCACTCTCCTTTCAGATCTATTTCTTTAGTTATTTAAGTAGATGCTCGATGTAAAAAACACTACAGAAATCATTAACAGACATGATTCCAGAGATGAGACGTCCATCATTAAATACCTACAGTTTGTTTTAAAACCTACAGATATAGATACTATAGCTGATTCTAACAAACCCACAGAACATGCAGCAATAAACATTATACATAGTACACATAAGCTCTGAATATCAATGAATAACCATTATTTTCCTTCTTTCATTCATTGTGTGTAGCCTGCATTGAAGCTATATAATTTTAAGATTGAGTCAGATGCATTAGACTGTCTCCTCCTCAGTGCTCTGATACATGAGGGCTGTTAGTGATGACACATGTTCACACAGGATTTGATTCACACACATTTAGTCATACACATATGTCCCCCCCCCAGTGGAAAATCACTGTCTCTAGGAAGACTTGCAGTATGCTGTGCTCTCATGAGGTCAAGTTATTTTAATTTTACCATGAATAGATCATTTATGAATATATTTTATGAATTTATTCATGGATTTGTTATCACAAACAGAGAACTAATTTTGATTTTTTCTTAAACTCAAGAATAAATAATGTTTAATGTGTCATGATTCATGTATTTAAATAAACAAACAATCACAAAAAACATATTGCTTTTACTGGCATTTTCGTTTCAAGTGTGTGCTGCTTTTGTTCACAGCAGGGGCACAGAGCAAATGATAGATAGTGGAAATCTAATAGTTCTAATAGTTTTCAGAATAAAGGGTGACAGGAAAAAACACATACAGGGGGTCCTAAATGATTAGTTCATATTTTGTTCAACTGTGAGGGTGAAAATAAAGCCTGACTGCAGGGTTGGATTCAGAGAATATGAAAGTCTTTGCATAGTTTTTGAGCTGTATTCCTGCTGTGAGAAGCCTGTCCTAGGGGCTAACCCTTCTTCCTAAATGACGCCAAAGATTGTGCCCCAGGTCCTCCTTCTGTCTGGCCGCTGACAGAGTTCACTCCAGTCATAAACACACAGTATGCCCATTGCACAGTTTAGGGTTCCCATTTCTGCTTTGTAAACATTTTATTTGTAGTGCATCTGGAAGGCACATATCTGCCAATGCACCAAAAACAAAGGAAAGGATTCAGCTTTCTGTTTACTAGCAACATTTTTGATAACCTTTGACCATTCAAGATAGAATATTTTGTGTTGAATTGTTAAAGGGCCCTTATTTCACTATTTTTGATCTTTGTTATAATGATGTTTCCTCATCACAAATGTACCTGGGATTTTGTTTGGTTTCATTCACTGAAAACACTCTGTTCAACCTTGTGATGTCATGTGGTAATGCAAGGGTAATTCAGGGTATTTTTAAACTCCATACACCTTCACTACAATCATTTGGATGATTTGTAATTACCAATCTCTACTGAACTAAAGGTAAAAAATAGTTGTTAACTTGAACTACTATGGTTCATGACATCACAAGGTGGAACAGAGCCTTATGAGCTTTGAAGATGTAGTCAAAAATGGTTATAGTAAAAATAGCTGTGATACATTACTAACCCCAAACCTGATTCTGCATAACCATTACTCAAACAAAGGCTTTATTTTATTTATCATTTTACCATTATGGAGTTGAAGTAAAATACACAATTTATAGCTTGGGTGAGCCATTAACAGAGATAAACAAAGGATGCAGACTGCTGTGTTAGTCTGATAAAATTCCCAGCAGAGGGACACCACATCGGCCACAAACATAAAACCCAATAAAGCAGCCAGTACACAACTGACAGCACTCCCCAGGGCTCACACAGCTTGCAGAGCATAAACAGAGCATCCATAAACACTCAGAAATACCAGCTTTTTGTGTTAACGAAGTTTGTGAGCTTTCCCCTAACTGCAGAAGTAGTTGTAGAAGTATGTCCCTGAGAGAAATGAAGATCCCATTTTGTCATAAATTGTTCTTTTGACTTTGGTTTTGTTGTAAATCTACATTTCGGTCTCATCTCATTTGCCATAATTAAGTCACAAAATGCTTGTCTTCCATCAAGTTTGGATTAATCATTAGGGGGCAGTGCCTTCCTCTCAGCAGCTCATGGAAGCACTCATTATTAGACAAACTTCGTTCCCAGTTCCCACTGAGAGAATGGAGATACAGCAGAGATATAAATAAACAGCTTTAAAATGTGTCCTTCAGCAACTCACAATCCACTTTCTTAATGCCAGGAAAACTTTTTCACTTGCTAACTTTTTGGCAGTTAAACATGGGGTATATCAAGTAATCAAGTAACGTCACTTATCGATCAATAAATTACATAACAAATGCATACATTTGAAATATCATGTTCCATAAATATTTGATTTCAAAAAGTTTATAGCCACAACTTTGAGATATAGCAGCCTGTCCTATATAGGCTTTATTGCTATTATTAGGTTACAACTTTATTTTGCATTTATTTTATTTATATATATATATATATATATATATATATATATATATATATATATATATATATATATATATATATATATATATATATATATATATATATATATATATATACAAGTAAGCTGATTGAGAACACTTTGCATTTAGCATGGTAACTTGGTCTCGACTGTTAAAAGTTTATTTATTTATTTTTTTAGACATACAGTATATTAAAAAAAAAAAGATAAAAAAAGAACAAAAGAAAGAAAGAAAGAAAACAAACAAACAAAAAACATATATAGTAGATCTTACAGGTGGTAAGAGTCTAAGTAATATAGTGTAAGTAGTGCTCAATGGTGAGTCCAAAAGGCAAGTGATTTTGAGGCTCTTGAAATTGTCCTGCTCCAGTATTTTGTGAAACCATAAGAGCACAGAAAAGAGAAAAGATTTGAGTGAGTTTTGCAGGAAAGGATTATGAACTATGTATTTTTATTATATCAATATTACAATCCAACCAGGAGTCCAACATAGATATGTGCCGAGTTTGATTTGGTCTGAAACTGGTGTACGCTTTTCACTGCAATTTTAGAGATTTGGTTTTGAATTTTTGTTCCACTGCTGTTCTAGATATTCTGTGTAATACTGAACATCCTGTGTTTAACTGTTGCTCTTCATGCAAGAGCAGCTGCATTGGTCTGTCGGTTTGGGCTTGGGGAAAATTGGTAATGTGATATAAAAAACCCAGACATCTTTGGTTTTCAAAATTGCTGTATATAATTGTGGAAGTTTTTGTCTCTGTCTTTTCTATAGACACTGGTCAAATGTTAAACTGTGTCACCCTCTATTTCTCTCCATTAGCTAGAAGTTAACTGACACAAGTTCAGTAAAATATAAAAATAACCATACTATTTAACAAGGCGTTGAAACAGAAATACTTATTTGAAGCAAATTGGGCAAAGTTCTGATCTAATTGAAGCAGAGTGACAGGAGGGTTCTTGTAAATGAATGTTTTTCTAGTCATTCATGTTAAAAGTCTTCATGACTTTAAAGTTCTGCAGCAAATAATATTTTTAAGTGTGATTTTCATTATTCGATCAGACATGCACTGTATCAAAGATAAAGGAAGTGTGAAAGTGTGGACAAAATAATAAAATATATCTTAGGGGGGAAAGAAGTTGGTATTATGTTCCTCACATCAGCAAGAAAAATGTTAGACTATGTCATGAAATTTGTGACAGAAGAAAAAGGCCAGGATTCACTTGAGGCCATAATGAAGTACACACAGGAAAAGTACAAGGATTTTAAAGATGCACTATGCAGTTCTTTTGGTGGAGGGTCTATCTTACAGTAGTGGCAGTTTAACTCCACAGTTTGCCACTATAGTTGTAAGGGCATAGCTTTAGCTTGACTCATGTTTCTAAGGTGAAAAAGGAAAGATTC